AGCAGTCTTGTATTTGCCAAAATGCGCGCGCTCAGCAGGCGGCAGGTGACTACGAACAGCAAGACGAGCAACAGCGTCACGAGTGGTCCACTGCGAGCAAACCGTACTGTCAGCAGTGGCAGCAGGAGCAGTAGAGACATCGGAAGTGTGATCGAAAAGGGATACCCCATCCCTAGAGTCACACTGAAGAAAGAGCTGCAGGTCGTCAACCCAAACGTCAAAGTCAACTGCACGTCCCTCAGCATTAAATGTGAGAACAGTAGGGCTAGCCATAGCAACAGTAGCAGCTGTAGCAGCAGTGGTAGTAGAAGCAGCAGTGGCAGCAGGAACAGTGCAGGCAGGGCAGTGCGGCTCAGTAGGGCAGCGCGGCTCGGTAGGGCGTCGCGGCTCGGCAGGGCAGCGAGGCTCGGAAGGGCAGCGCGGCTCGGCAGAGCGGCGCGGCTCGGTGGGCGGCGCGGCTCGGCTGGGCGGCGCGGCTCGGCTTGGCGGCGCGGCTCAGCTCCTGGCGGCGCGGCGCAGCAGGGCGGCGCGGGTGCTTACCAGGGGCGGGTGCAGGGCAGGGCCGCGACGGCAGGGGCCGCGACTGCAGGGGCCGCGACAGCAAAGAGGCCGCGACGGCCGGGACCGCGACTGCAGGTTCGGCAACAGCAGGGGCCGCGACAGCAGGGGCCTCGACGGCAGGGGCCGCAACGGTAGGGGCCGCGACAGCTGCAGGGGCCGCGACGGCAGCAGGGGCCTAGACGGCAGCAGGGGCCGCGACGGCAGCAGGGCCCGCGACGGCAGCAGGGGCCGCGACGGCAGTAGGAGCCGCGACGGTAGCAGGGGCCGCGTTGGCAGCAGGGGCCGCGTCGGCAGTAGGGGCCGCGTCTGCAGCAGGGGCCGCGACTGCAGCAGAGGCCGTGACGGCAGTAGGGGCTGCGACAGCAGCAGGGGCCGCGTCAGCAGCAGGGGCCGCGACGGCAGTAGGGGCCGCGTCGGCAGTAGGGGCCGCGACGGCAGTAGCGGCCGCGACAGCAGCAGGGGCCGCGACGGCAGTAGGGGCCGCGTCGGCAGTAGGGGCCGCGACGGGCCGGCTAGGGATGGGCGCGCGACGGCGCAGGTAAGGCGGGCGCGAGGCGCGCTTCAAGCAGGGCAGGAAAAAAAAAATCACGTGGTGGGCCCTAAAAAAAACGTTCCCACGAGGGAACCTGCTCAGAATACCATGTTATAATATGGAACGAATGAATGAACTAGAAAGCAGGCGGGTACAAGTAGGAAACCTAAAAGTGTTGTACCCTATAAGAACTACCCCACTACAACCTAAACAGACTATAGCATATAAGTTTGACAGAGTGTGCTCTTGGCACGGACGTCCTTGAGGACAGGCAGGAGGACTTTGAGTGTCTTACAGCTGCTGTACCTCGTATCGCTTCCATGCTGCTTGCCCCTGAGGGAGACCCAGATGCACCAGACATCCCGACCCCGCGCTCTTACGCAGAGGCGATTATGGGTCCCTACTCCTCTCAGTGGCAGGCAGCCATGGATGCCGAGATGGCATCCTGGAAGTCCACAGGCACCTACGTCGACGAGGTTCCCCCACCTGGGGTGAACATTGTCGATGGCATGTGGATTTTCAGGGTGAAGCGGCCGCCGGGTTCTCCGCCTGTCTTCAAGGCGCGTTACGTTGCTCGAGGCTTCAGTCAGCGATAGGGAGTTGACTAATTCCAGACCTTCTCCCCCACCCCGAAGATGACTACTCTTCGGGTGTTGCTGCACGTCGCTGCTCAGCGTGACTACGAGTTGCACTCTCTGGACTTCAGCACAGCTTTCCTGAAGGGCAGTCTGCACGAGGAGATCTGGCAGCGCCGCCCACCTGGCTTCACTGAGTCGTTTCCTGCAGGTACTCAGTGGAGCCTCCGGCGGCCAGTCTACGGTCTCCGCCAGGCGCCTCGCGAGTGGCACGACACACTGAGGACTACACTTGCGGCTCTTGGGTTTGCTCCTACTACTGCTGACCCGTCGGTGTTTCTACGCACCGACACCTCGCTGCCGCCGTTCTACGTCCTCGTGTACGTCAACAACCTCGTCTTTGCCACTGCTGACACTGAGGCACTGACCCTTGTGAAGTCGGATCTGCAGAAGAGACACACCTGCACTGACCTGGGTGAACTGCGCAACTATCTTGGCTTGCAGATCACCCGGGACAGAGCACGGCGCACCATCACCCTGACTCAGTCACACATGGTGCACCAAGTCCTTCAGCGCTTCGGCTTCCAGTTCTCCTCGCCACAGCCCACTCCTCTGTCTACCAGCCACTCGCTCTCAGCTCCACCTTCGGACGAGTCCGTAGAGCCGAGTGGTCCGTACCCAGAGCTTGTGGGTTGTCTCATGTACCTGATGACATGCACACGACCTGACCTCGCATACCCTCTCAGCCTTCTGGCTCGCTACGTGGCTCCCGGTAGGCACCGAAAGGGGCACTGGGATGGTGCGAAGAGGGTACTGCGTTACTTGTGCAGTACGTCGGGCATGGGGCTCGTGCTTGGAGGACGGGGTCCAGTTGTCCTCACCGGTCACGCAGACGCTTCCTGGGTTGACGACTCAGCTACGCAGCGGTCGTCACAGGGTTACACCTTCAGCCTTGGCTCTGGCTCTGTTTCCTGGCAGTCTACCCGCTCGTCTTCGGTTCTCAGCTCCAGTTGTGAGGCTGAGATCTACGTAGGGGCCATGGCTGCACAGGAGCTACGCTGGCTCACCTACCTGCTGACTGACTTGGGAGAGCAGCCTCGTTCGCCTCCGGTTCTGTACGAAGACAACAAGGCCATGATTGCCTTGTGACAGAAGCACAGACTGGAGCACAGAACGAAGCATATCGCTCTGCGATACTTCCTTGCTCGAGAGTTGCAGCAGCGTGGCCAGCTTCGTCTTGCGTACATGGCCACTAGGGCCAACACTGCTGATATATTCACCAAGGCACTTCCGCCTGGTGATCATCAGCGCTTCTCTACTGTGTTAGGCCTTGTGCCTACTTTGCCTCACTTGCTTACTGCTTGACTCTGCTTGTAGTGTGATCTTTATATATACCTGCATGCTTGCACTTGCTAGGGTTTGATCACTGTATTGTTTGTTCTCTTATATATAACTCTGCATGTGAACTGGCCTTGTGGCCCTTTGCTTGTGCTCGGACTGTGTGGTAACTTTGTGATCCACCCTGAGCTTCCTTTGCTTTGCTTGATTGGTCTTGTGACCACTTGTTCTCCCCCACTTTGCCTATGGGGGTGTGTCCGAACATTATAGCTTTTACTTTTTTGTAGGCTATAGTGGGGTAGCCCATAAGGGGTACAACCCGATTAGGGTTAGTACTTGTACCCAACTCTTTGCTAGTTCATCCATTCTCGTTCTTTACTTTCAACACCACGACCCAACAGTCGCCGTTTTACCTGAACTACGGACAAGACCCTACTGTACCCATGACCCCGAGTCCCGACAACCCAGTACCACGTGCGCAACAATTCGCAGAAATACTACAGGCAGCACGAACCAGGGCAGCGGAGGCATTAAAAAAAGCAAACGTCATCGCTAAGCGCAACGCCGACCGCCACCGCAGGCCCGTCACTTACCAGCCCGACGACTTAGTTTTACTCGACACTCAAAATCTCCGCCTGCCCATAACCCCGAAACTCCGCCCCCGATACTGCGGGCCATTTCGCATCAGCCACATGATCACACCCGTCACCGCCCACCTCGTCCTCCCTGCTGACTGGTACGTCAGCCCGTCCTTCCACGCCAGCTTGCTTCGCCCCTACATCGCATCCACCAGCCAATTGGCCCGAAATCGCCCAGCCAGCATGACACGACCACCGACAGAACTAGTCATCACGGCCGAGAAGATTCTGAGCCACCGAGTTCGTGACCCATGAGGAGCTCGAAGGGTCGAGTTCCTGATCCGCTGGAGAGACCGCACGCCCACCGAGGACAGTTGGGTTCCACTGGAAAAAAATCAAAAACCACCCCGTCCTCACCGAGTATTTGCGCAGCCGGAATTTCCGGGATATACACGCGCTCTCGTAAGAGAGGCCTCCTTAAGGGGGGGGGGGGGGGGGGGGGTAGTGTAAGGAAAATCCCTTTTCCTTACTTCGCGTCCCTGCTCAGCGCGTATACCACTGTTCCTGCCAACAGCACTCCACAGTAATCCGTTACCAATCGCGACACTCGCTTCGACATCATTCCCGCCACTGTTCACGATGCGACCCAACCTCACGGTTCGGTTGGTAACCCGCGCTCCGGACGTCCGCCTCGACAATACCCAACCTCGGCGCCAGGCCTATCGCGCACCCCATGTTACCGTTACCACTGTAGCTTCGCTATATATTCTTCGCTCAAACCTTCGCTCATTGTATTCTTGTCTCCATAGTGCAATCCTCGCTCGCTCACTCAATTGCACTCGTAACAGTAAATCAGATGAAACCTGGACGACCTGTACGGGGCCTGGGGTCAACAGCGTTGCCTGGCTTGAAACTGGAAATGCCAAGGTACAGTCCCTCGCTCCACCCATTCCTACCACTCATGACGTGATGCGATCCTGCTCCATACTCTGCGCCTTTGCTGACAGTCGGTCAGCCTTCCATCAATACACGTTTACTGGCTTTGATTGCCGTTGCCGCTCGTTGCAATATCTCGTAGTCTGTGGAAAGAGAGATGGCCGACGATGCAGCACCAGAAGTGGTGCTCGAAACAACAATGGGGCAAATAACAGTCGAGGTAGGTTGTAGGTTGAGCGTAGTTACCCTTGAGGGGGGGCAAAGAGTACATGTTTGTCCGTCACATTCGTCACGTAGTGGCCGCCGGTATTGAGCTTGCTATCGTTTGGCGATTCGCGCCAAACTTGTTAGGGAATCCGAATTTCGTATTTTCTTTCCGAGTTTATATGTTCCCTAAACATGTGTTTTATCGCCAATAATGCATTGGATCTTCTTCCTTGTCCGCTCCCTTTCCGAATCACTTTGCGAAGCGCTGTGCAGTTGTACCACAAGCACGCTCCCAAGACGTGCAGAAACTTCTTAGAACTCTCACGGAGAGGGTACTACAATGGCACCAAGTTCCACCGAGTGATTAAGGTGAGCTGGCAGGACGAGTGGCATGGTGAGCTGGTGAACCCAGTGATCAATCTGAGCTTGCAAATTGAGTGATCAAGCCCTTCTGGCAGCATTCCGGCTGGTGATTTCAATATTTGAATTCTGTAATAATTGCAGGGGCCAAAATCAGCGTTGGACCCTAAGCAAGGCTTTGGTGGCAACTTTCTTATTGTTTTTGCTGCTATCCAGTCACCGCTCCTGTGACCAATACTGCTGCTTCAGCAGAAGCTCATGTTTGTCAGTTAAAACGTATAGTTCTCCCATTCACCCCTGCCACTGGTGCATTGTGCATTGCATTGACAGGATTTTATGGCTCAAGGCGGTGATCCCACAGGGACTGGACGAGGAGGAGAGTCCATCTACGGGTGAGTAATTATTCATAGGCTCCTTAAGATTCGCTGGGTGTAAGGAAGCCAGGAAGAGTGTTGGGTGGCAATGCGTGCGACCTCTCGGTCTCGCTACCGAAGTGCTTTGGTCTCGGATCAGGGTCACCTTACTCTCCACTGCTCCTCATCATCCCGATCCCCTTTTCTTTGTTCCTGAGCCAACTCTGAAGTCGATATCACTCACCCCGGTCATCGCTTCTCCTCCTGACTCCCCCTCCTGTCGTCCCACGGTTCAGAGCCAAGTTTGATGACGAGATAACGCGCGAGCTGAAGCACACGGGTGCGATTTTTTAGTCGACTAAAAAACCTTCCTGTCGTTCCGCTTGTCTGCTCCTTATGCCACCCTTCAGGGCCAAGTTTGAGGATGAGATAACGCGCGAGCTGAAGCACACGGGCGCTGGTGTGCTCTCCATGGCCAATGCCGGGCCCAACACCAACGGCAGCCAGTTCTTCCTCACCCTCGCCCCCACTCCCTGGCTCGACGGTGCGTGGATTGAATTCCTTCGTTCTTACTCCCTGCCCCAATGGTGCATTATCTTATCACCCTCGCCCCGCCCCTGATCTGCCTCGACAAATGTTGATTAACATTCAATGCCTCAAAATGCACTGCACAGATACCGTATACTGATTTGGGAGGTTGCTAGATTGGTTGCTATCCTTTCCTGTCTCACTCAATTTTCCTGTTGCACTGCAGGCAAGCACACCATATTTGGCCGTGTGTCGCATGGAATGGACGTGCTGAAACGGCTGGGCAACGTGCAGGCAGACAGGACTGACAGGTGATGCAGCAGGAATGGGATGCGTTCTTGTATGCATGCACAGCAACCCAGTACGCTTCCCGGCTAGTGGGTGATGCAGAGCCCTTTCTGACCTTGTGATCTGTGCTTTTGTGTCAGTCTTAATTTTCCAGTTCATGCCGGTTCGCTCCGTCTTGCCTCACCTGACTCTGATCCTTCGCTTGCTGCTGTGCAGGCCCATCCATGATGTGAAGATTATCAAGGCAGTTCCAAGAGACTAGCATAAAGCTTTCTTGTGTGGCTGGTTAGGAGATCGCAGTATCTATTTAGCGTCAATAATGGGTTCTTCAAAATGCCTAAGCAGTTCCCCTCATGCATTGCAAATCACATCTTAGATTTTCACATTTATTTGAGTAGTACACTGTACACTGTTCGCTCGCAGACACTGTACCTCCCTAAACAAGCTTACCTCAGCCCCATCGAGGCAAGCATGGTTCAAGGTGAGCATGGTTCAAGGTGAGCATGGTTCAAGGCGAGCATGGTTCAAGGCGAGCATGGTTCAAGGCGAGCATGTTTCAAGGTGAGCATGGTTCAAGGTGAGCATGGTTCAAGGTGAGCATGGTTCAAGGCGAGCATGGTTCAAGGCAAGCATGGTTCAAGATGAGCATGGTTCAAGGCGAGCATGGTTCAAGGTGAGCATGGTTCAAGGTGAGCATGGTTCAAGGTGAGCATGGTTCAAGGTGAGCATGGTTCAAGGCGAGCGTGGTTCAAGGTGAGCATGGTTCAAGGTGAGCATGGTTCAAGGTGAGTATGGTTCCATGGCGCCATCAGCGCGCTCCGTCGTCAGGGCTCGCTTGCTCCTGCCGTCCAACCCTTCCGCGAGTTACGCCGAGTACTCCTGCCGCGTCGCATTCCAGGCTCACTCGCGTCGGTACGTCCGTTCCTAGTCGCACTCAAGGCAGCCTGCCGCGTCGCACTCCCGGCTCGTTGAACCTGTCCTCGGGAATCTCTCTTTTTGAAGTACTACATGGCAACGGTGATTTGAGGCGAGAACTCGCTTGCCGTGCGGGCCCGCGGTATTACTCTTTCCACTCTGACTGCGTCTTTCATGATCCTCGCTAGTGTCCTTGCCTCACCCGCGTATTTCCCTCCCTTCCTTCCCCTCCTTCAATTCTTCCCAGCGATGGCGTGTGTGACGCGTACATTGCATCTGGACGTCAGGTGTATCACTGTCAGATGCCAGTAGGTCAGGAGAGTCTGTTGCAACAGGGCAAGGCGCAGGTGCTTCTGCCGCACCCTGTCAAGGTGGGTTTTGTTGATTGACACTGTTCATGTGGTGTTCTGTTATGCACATTCTTCGGGTGGGTTGATTTACCCAGTTCACCAAGCCATGTGCATATTCACATTGTTCACTTTTCAAGTGGGTTCACACCATTCAGGTGGGATGAAGAAAGCTTCTGCTTCCATCATATGAATGCCACCTCATCATTATACCACCTCTTCATACGACCTCTCCATGCCACGTGTCCACACCATGCTACTGGTCACCGTTTCTAGAAGCGTTTCAAAAACCGCATCATGCTGCTTGTCCAATTCTCCCCAGCTCTCCACTCCCATCCCCCTCCCATCCCCCTCCCCGTCACCCACCCCCCCCCCTTCAGGACGTCACTCCAGCGCCCGTCCCCTCTCTCCTCCACGCAGCGGCCGTGCAGAGCCTCGCATCTGCCGCCCTGGGAGGCACCGGAGGGCGAGCTGGTGAGCAGAGAGTACGCATGATGAACACGTGGCTTACATAAAACCCTAAATCAGGGAGCCAGTACTGGAAAAGGGCACTTGCTCATTTACATCTGTCTGACTTTAGCACAAGCATATGGCTCGCCTGTGTTTTCAGTAAACACAGCACGAGCACACATACAAACTCGTTCGTTCGAAGAGCCCCACCTTTGCTCTTTTCTGTCATGGCTTCATCTCTCCCGCTTTTTTTACTTCTCTTTGCATGACCATGCTTTCCCTCTTCTCTTGGCATTTTCCCTTCCCCTTCCCTCATCCACCCTTCGATCCTCCCCTATCCAATCTTGCCTCCAGCCTCTACGCTCCTTTCCTCTGTGGACTCACTTGGTCGAACCATCGTCTCCACCTTCTCCTCTTCATCTGGTAAGTCAGCCACGTGAACCAAGTCAACCGAGTCAGCTCTCGTTTTCCGTTTTTCACTCTCATTGTCTCTTGTATCTGTCTCCTTAGTTGGCCAAGACAAGTGCACGCCACCATGCTGCTGCCCTCCACCCCTCCCCACCCCACCCCTCCCCTCCCCTCCCCTCCACTCCCCTCCCCTCCCCTCCCCACCCCTCCCCTCCCCTTTCCCTTGTGTCAGCAGCAGCAACTATTGATTCCATCTCCCACTCTCCCACGGTGCTGCGACTCCTCCCCATCGCTTCCATCTCCCCGCACATGGCAGTGACTCCTGACTCCCTCTGCCATCTCTCCCTCTCCCTCTACGGCATCTCTAAAGTCCCAACTTGGACTATGCTGCTCATATGCTTCTGCCATCTTCCTCCCCCCCTTCTCTTTCCCCCCATCTCTCCCATCTCCCCGCACGTGGCAGTGACTCCTGACTCCCACTGTCACCTCGCCCCCTCCCCCTGCGGCATCACTGAGTCGGGCCCGTGCTGCACTGCCATCTCTGTCACAGGACCCTCCACCATCCGGGTACGGCTCACGTACCAAGTGCTCATTGTGCTGTATGTGTCAGTGTACGTTTTGATTGGACCGTGCAAGTGTCTGTTTCCCCCTGCGGCATTACTGAGCCGGGGCTGTGCTGCACTGCCATCTCCGTCACAGGACCCTCCACCCTCCGGGTATGGCTCACGTACCATTGTACTGTCTGAGTGTACTTTAATCAGAATGTACCGTGTAGGTTTTTGTTTGCCTTGCGGCATCACTGAGTCGGGACCATGCTGCACTGCCATCTCTGTCACAGGGCTCTTGACTGTGCGGGTACAGCAAAACATATTCAGTGGTACAGTGTAAAAGTACAGTGTACTGTGTAAACGTACAGTGTACAGTGTGAACGTACAGTGTGCAGTGTTGTGTAAATCTTCATGGTATGTGTACAGTGCATACGCACCATGAGTATTTACATACACTATGTTTGTGTTAAGTGCAGTGTTTATTTACCCCTGCAACATCTCTGACTTGACTTTGATTGACTCGGTTGACTCAACTTGACTCACCCTCTCCCCACCTTCCTGCCCCCCTCCCCCCCCCCGGTCTCATCTTGACCAGGTTTTATTTCCCGTTTCTTCCCCCTCTCTCTTGACCTTCACGACCCAGACTCCACCTCCCCAGCTCCCCAGTGTTTCCCCTCCCTCTTCCACATCACCTCCCCTTCACCCCCTCTCGCTCCCCGCACCAGGTGGCTACGTCCTGCTTCTTCCCCCGATCAGTAGACCTGCACGACCCTGCTTCCCCCTCCCCCGCTTCCCCCCTGCGCACATTCCGCCTGCCCTTCCCCCCCGCTGCTGTGGGCTTCCTTGGGGGAACCGAGCGGGGCAGGGGGGGAGGGAAGCGGAGGGGAGGGGAGATGGAGGGGGAGGGGGGTGCAGTTGAAGGGGTTCGGCTGCTGGCAGTGTGCGAAGGACCGCAGGTGTGTGTGGGTGGGTGGGGAGTCTCTTTTGTGCGGTGGGGTGTGGTGGGATTACGCAGTTGTGGGTTTGAGGGGGCTCACGCGCGTGTGAGGGTGGTGGGACGGGTGGTCATTTGCATGGCTCACACAGCTCTCCACATGCCCCTGCCTGACAAGTTCCTATCACCAACGTCTGACGTCACCATGCCATGTCATCATGCCATGTCATCATGCCATGTCACCATGCCATGTCACCATGCCATGTCATCATGCCAGCTCAGCATTTGGGACGAGCGGTCCTCCGAAAACGGTGGCTGCATCCAGCGAATCACCGTCTCTCCTGCTGCCGAGCCTCTCTATGCCCTAGCCTCGACAGTAGGCTCGGGAACAGGCTTGGTGGCAGTAGGAGGGGCCGAGCGTACTGTAGCTGTGTACGACGTGCGTAAATGGGCGGCGAGAGGCCGATGGGTCGGCTGCGTTCGGCAGGACGTGATGGGAATAGCTTTCCCTGTGGCGGCTGGTGGTGAGAGAGAAGAAGTGAGACGGGAGAGACAGGAGGGGCAGCAGGGGCAGGAAGGTCTTTCGTTTGGATCTGACGAATCCGTGTTTGTGTGGAGTGGTGACAACGAGGTGGTGTGTGGGAGGTGGACTGAGGGCGAGGGGAGGGTGGGATCTGTGCGAAGAGCAGAGAAGGGGAGGGGTAAGGGGGGGAGTGGAAGGGGGGGGAAGGGGGGGGAATGGGGAGGGATTGAGGCCGGGGGGAGGGGGAGGGCACAGCCAAGCAGAGAGAAGGTGAATCAGCAGAACAGAGAGCAACAGAACAGGGTGCAGCAGAACAGAGAGCAACCGAATGGTATAGAGGACGTCTCTAAAGAGGATATTGGGCTTGCTCACAGGGAGGAGGATTCGGGGTTGGACAGAAGAGGAGTATTGGGAGAGAGAGAAGGAGGGGAAGGCGGAGGGGCTGGGGAAGCAGAAGGAGAAGCTGCAGCAGAAGCAGAGGCAGCAGCGGAGGGGGGGAAGGGGCCATCGCGAGTGCACCAGTCGTTTCGGGGTGACAGTGCCTGGTGCGGCATTGCACGGGTGAGTGAGTGTAGGGGGCGTGGACAAGGGCACCTGTGGTTGGTTTCTGGCGTCATTTGAGAATTCCGAAAAAAACGAGTGCACCACTTGTTCGGAGGAGACAGTGTGGGGCACCACTTGTTCGGAGGAGACAGTGCCTGGTGCGGGATTGCAAGGGCGATTGTGGGAGGGGTGCACAGGATAAGCATGGATGATTTTTGTCATAGGTCAGGTTCGTCATGATACCAATCCATTTTCCTCCTCTAAGCTTCTCTCCCCTTCTCTCCTGCATTCAACTACTCTACCATCTCCTCCATTCCTACTCTTTTCCCCCCCTCCTCACCTCCCCTCCTCCCCTCCTCCCCTCCTCCCCTCCCCCCCTCCTCCCCTCCCCCACTCCCCCCATCTTCCCCTCCTCCCTTCCTCCCCCACTCCCCCCCTCCCCTCCTCCCCCACTTCCCCCCTCCTTCCTCCCCAACTCCCCTCCTCCCCTCCTCCCCCACTCCCGTCCTCCCCTCCTCCCCTCCTCCTCCCCTCCTCTCCTCCTCTCCTCCCCTCCTCCCCTCCTCCCCTCCTCCCCTCCTCCTCCCCTCCTCTCCTCCCCTCCTCCCCTCCTCCCCTCCTCCTCCCCTCCTCCCCTCCTCTCCTCCTCTCCTCCCCTCCTCCCCTCCTCCCCTCCTCCTCCCCTCCTCTCCTCCTCTCCTCCCCTCCTCCCCTCTTGTGCCCGTGCAGGATTTCAACGCCAATCTGCTTGCAGGCTGGTGCATGTCTGGCAGCTTCATACTCGCCGATTGCACTTACTAGTGCATCGACGCACGGCGATGGTAGTAGTGCAGCTCATTTGCTACAGCTTTTGGGATTCGATGGTGTCGGAGAAACCCGAAATACTAGTAATTTCACTTAAGTGAGTTGTTCAGGGCTATCCTCCAGAGCACCCAGTCAGTGAAAAGGGCAGCTTCGTGTGTGCAGCCAGCTATGGCCATGGTCATGCCAATGTGTTGTGAGATGTCTCAGAATAGCCATGGCTACATTCATGCATTTCGGCACACCTCAATATGGTCATGGGCCATGGCTATGCCCATGTGCTCTGACATGCCTCAAGATAGCCCCGCCCCGTGATGAATATTTGTGGCCTCTTTGGTGCAATATGCAACTACCGTACATACCTGTGCAGTGCAAGGTGCCGCACATAACTACACTACAATGGCGGCTTGATTTGTGGCAGTGTCTGGTGTTGCATTCATGAGCAATTGAAATGTCACACTTCAAATCTTCCTGGCAGACAGCAACTGAATGTGAGGAATGCCCTAGCAGGCTGGTAGAATCAGCACAAGCACATAATGCACTTCCCAAAGCATCGAACAAGAATGCCTCTTCAATGAATTCGATTTTATATAGCTTTCACCTTCTCTACAATCTTTTCAATCACAGAATCCATCAGTTCAGGGTGTGCTGCCGGGTCGGGGAGACCCCAATCCTCCACAGTGGTGCTTGCAGGGAGGTCCACCTTGGGTAGGTTGGGCTGCAGGCAGAAGCGACAAACCACGCAATGTGCAATGCACACTTGTATGTCAGTAACAAAGCAGCAGGAAAACTAGCTAGGTACGTGACAACCAATGCATGAGGTCAGGGAGGAGAGAGTCAATGGCATGGTGTGGCTGATGCACAGTCGTTGGCAGGCATCACACGACACCATGACGACCGAACCAGGTAACGGCACATGGGAACAAGAGTCGGCATCAGGCACCACAACAGGACAGTAACACTGATAAAGGAACACTTCAATACCACAAGACTCCGGATGAAAGAAAAAACATCAGAACTATCATAGAACACCACCGAGCCCATCGCCACAACCTTAACTCACCAGACAGCCCATCATTACAATCATGACTCACCAGACAGCCCATCATCACACTCACCAGACAGCCCATCATTACAATCATGACTCATCAGACAGCCCATCATCACAATCATGACTCACCAGACAGCCCAGCATCACAATCATGACTCACCAGACAGCCCATCATCACAATCATGACTCACCAGACAGCCCATCATCACAATCATGACTCATCAGACAGCCCATCATCACACTCACCAGACAGCCCATCATTACAATTATGACTCATCAGACAGCCCATCATCACACTCACCAGACAGCCCATCATTACAATTATGACTCACCAGACAGCCCAGCATCACAAACATGACTCACCAGACAGCCCATCATCACAATCATGACTCACCAGACAGCCCATCATCACAGTCATGACTCACCAGACAGCCCATCATCACAATCATGACTCACCAGACAGCCCATCATCACAATGAGGTCCCAGTTGTTCTCCAGGCCCCCAATCTCCTCATCCGCAATGCCCTGTGAAAGGAGCAAGCAAGAAACGATCAAGAAGGCAAAGAAGATGACAAAGAAGACGTTGTAAGAATAACGGAATAAGGAAATGCCTAGCAACAAAACGTAACCGTTTCTGCATGTGCCCATAATGACACGACACTAGTGCAGTACCACCTGAGTGCATTATGTGGTGAATCAACCATTTCCGTCACCTTGGAGCGCGCATGGTCCGTCGGATAGCCGCGACTTTTGAGAGCCTCGATCATGACTGGGTTCAGCTTGCCTGCTGCATCCACACCTGCCATGGGACAAGTCCGAAGAACAGGGAAAAGCCATACAGTAATCCACTAGCAGCTCATGTTATTTGTTGAGAACTTACACAGTCCATACAAACATTCGACCTATCACAGCAACAGGGACACAGATCACGCTACCTAATTGCCCTTGTTCTCCAGAGAATTCTCAGTACACGTTTACACCTTCCACCTAACGCAGCAACAAGGATACAGCACAAACATATAACTCACCAGATCGTGTCAGCAACATTTTCGGGATTGAGCGTGCTTGCGTTCGTACCACATGTGTAGACATTCACCCTCGCATTTGCTCACAGACTTTTCGTCGTTGCAAATTACCCTTCCCCTTCTATCAATCAGTACTGTGGTCATGATTTTCAGGACCATGAAACCAGAACCATGAATTCAGGACCACGAAGCCAGGACCACACATCCGGAACCCTATATTCAATACCACAAATTTAGGACCACCAGATTCAGCACCATAATTCCAGGATCATGATATTATATCCATACATAAACGTTGGATACCGGACCCTAAATTTGTGCTCGAAATTCGGGACGCTAGCATGCAAGTCGCTACTCCAATTACAGCTTGAAAACATCTCTCTGAACTTCACTACTTGCTCTGGTCCCATTCGTCGATAGCATTTCCTGTCGCGCATTTACTAGCCTCAGCACATCGCCAATCTTTCTCCCCCCTGACCTCTACATTGCGGACTCTGCTTTCATCTCCCCCATTCTTCCCATTCTTTCCTCCTAGTCCCATCCTTCCATCATTCTTCCCGCATTTGTCCCTCTCTATCGCGTGACACCGCTCAAGATCCGCACTTACCTGCGCTTGCGACTTCGAGTTCCGATCGCAGATGCCTCGCGATCGCTTCGGCCGCGATCGACCGGTTCGCGTTGTGGCTGCAGACAAACAGGACGCGCTTCGGCATGCTGCCTACTCGGCGTTTAACCTGGACATATGAAACGACGTGATTGGATGGAAAAACGTACGGGACGAACTAACTGACTGGAAAAAATAGATGGGGGAATGGAGGAAAAGGTGAAGAAGAGGAGGAAAAGGGGAAAGAGAGCGAGAGAGAATGTTGCGAAGGCGGGGAGTGAGCCAACGAGAACGACGACTCAGAGGGTTTGTGGGAAATCATAGCACCAGCTGACCTGTCGATATCAACCAAGTACGAAAGAAACTTGAAGCGAGGGAGTGGTGACGCAGGCCAAGAAGAGGCTAGTTAGCTAAGAATAGGAAATGTAAAACGTAAGGCGAAGCGAAGCAGCTAGTGGGACTGACCTCGAGAGTTTGAGGTATCAAATGCGGAAGGTGGCGCTGGGACAGCCTCTTTCGCTCGAATTACTCAAACAATAATAAATAGACTGTCCCGTAGCCGGCGCATTTGTTTCTGTCGAACGGAAACGTCGGGTCGTGCCCATCGGAGCCATGCTTCATGTGAAAGGTGAGCCACCAACTCCTCAGAAAAGCCTTCCTCTCAAAACTCCTCTGGGAATGGAGAATGGAGCTGCGCGGGCGAACAGGGGGAAAGGGGGGGAGGGGGAACAGTTGGGGGGAAGCGCATTCCCCCATTCCCCCTTTTCGCTGCAGAGGGAATATTCCTTTTTAAAGAATTTCCTCGAAATGTCCCGAGCATCTAGAAGTTTTGGCAGTTCGAGTTTACCCCAACAAGTAGAAACGTTCCCGAGTACCCGCTAATGCCAATTGAAGATCTGAAATTCAGGCAACAGTACTTTTCTGGAGGGGGGGAACGAAGTGTTTTTCGGCAAAATTAGACGTTCAGGCAGCAATTCGTTGATACCCGTTCCAAATCGTTGACGAGTTTGTGACCGAATGAACATAGAAAACACAAATCAATTGCTGCCAAGCAGCACGATTCCTTCACCCGAAATCTCGGTCATTTCGCGCCTTTTGAATCCTGCCGCCAAATATGCTCACAGCCCTCAATCGTCATGTATAAAACCACCATCAAAATCAGTGACCAGGAAAGAAGGTCGCACCTGTCGTCGTTGTCTCAATTCGATCCGACTTCATCCGTTCTCTCCAGGAGCACCGACTTACTGTCTCCGTGTCGCCGGTTACAACATCACATCGCGTTGCCATCGACTGACAGACCAACGCCATGGCTGAAGCGCAAGTTCAGGGTGTGGAGGTACAATGCGTGCCGGAAAATAAGAACCTTCCGCCGCTGCTCGGGTCGGCGGAGCCCGGTGCGGACGAGCAGCAGCTGGGCCTGCGTTGCCGCTTCACGCGCAGCACCGGCGAGACGGAGGAGTACCCGGCTACCATGAAGAAAGCGGGAAGCGGCGCGACGCATTTCAGCTGCTGCTGCCCGTCTGAGGTACGTCAGTCGGAAGTCGTCAGTCGGGGACACGTCAGTTGGAGACACGTCAATAGAGGACACGTCATTCGTAATCACGTCATTTGTAGTCACGTCATTCGTAGTCACGTCATTCGAAGTTATGTCATTTGTAGTCACGTCATTCGAAGTTACGTCAGTCGTTCGTAGTCACGTCATTTTACCACTGATATGCGATCAGGGTAGAAAAGAGCACGAGTTTCTAATGACGAATTCTGTCATTGATATGCGACTAGTGCTCCCCGTCTCGAGCCTTTCCCGCCTTTCCCCTTCACTTACACGATACCTTCTCCTCAAACCCCCAATTGCACCACATTCCTTCTCCTTACCTTCAATCCCTTCACCCTCTCCCCCATACCCTCTCCCCACTCCCCTTTCCCTTCTCCGTTCCCCACGGAAGGCCGTTCCGCGGACGGACTCGGCGCGCGCGGCGCTGGTGTGGGGCGCAGAGGGCGAGGCGGAGGTGGCGTGCCGCGTGGTGGAGGCGCTGGAGGAGAAGAACGCGCCCGCCGTCAAAGAGCTCTCCGCTGCCGGTGGGTTACTTCATGTCGCAGCATATCGCATAATCGCAGCATGTCGCAGTGTGTCGTTTGCTGGACGCGTCCTCGCGGTCTGAAGTTTCCCCGCCATCTCCCTAACTTCCTTCATCCTCCCAAGCTTCACTCTCTCCTCCCTCCCAACCCCCCCTCTTTTCGGCGTTTCCGCTATTCCCTATGCAACAACGTGCAGCTGTCTTCCTTCCTCACCCCCTCCCCCCTCTCTGCCCCCCTCCCCACCCTCCCCCCCACTGTCTTTGCACTCTTTCTCCCTGTAAATCGTGCAGCCGTGTTTCGCAGCATGTCGCTGCTCGATCGCTACCTGGCTGTGTGGATCCTCCTCGCCATGATCATCGGAGTCCTGCTCGGCTACTACGTGCCCGCCATCCGCGACGCCTGGGAGACCGTGTCCGTCGCCAACGTGTCGCTCCCCATCGCCATCGGCCTCTGGTGGATGATGTACCCCGTGCTCTGCAAGGTAGGGTTAGTTACCCCGTGCTTTGCACGGTAGGGTTATTTACTCCGTGCTCTGCAAGGCAGTGTTACTTGTCGGGAGACTATCGTGAGCAAGCAAACGGTCATAGGAGCAAGCGAAGTCGGGTAAACCCGAAGTTCACTTCTTTGCTTGCGACTCAGGTGCCTTCTTGACCCCTAAACCCGATATCCGAACCCAGGATCCAAACCTGAGACTCAAACCCCAACTTCCGCCCTCTCCTTCCCTGTATGCGCAGGTTCGGTTCGAGCTGCTGCCAAAGCTGTCCCGATCCTGGGGCCTGCTGTTCCACATCGGCATCTCCCTGGCGATCAACTGGGTGCTCGCTCCCCTGCTCATGACTGGTGCGTCCCTTTCGATTCATACCAGTTCTATGCGCCTTGAAGCACTTGACAAGGTTTATTTACTGATTGCGGTACTTCCGGCATGGGTTGCTCTTTCCATTCCAACAGCAAGCTCTCAGCTCCAAGCCATGATCCATACCAAACTCATCCTTGTCTATCCACTCTGTCTCCTTCCATTGATCCCTTCCCCACCACCAGGGCTGGCATGGGCCACTCTCCCCGACCAGGCAGGGCTGCGCACAGGCATCATCCTGGTGGGCATCGCTCGCTGCATCGCCATGGTGCTCATCTGGAACCACCTGGCGGGCGGCAATGCCGAGTTCTGTGCCATCCTCGTGGCCGTGAACTCCATTCTGCAGGTTCGTTTGTTCCTGTCCTGTGCTTGTGCTCCTGCTCTGTTTTGCCGTTGCTTTCTGTCTTGCCTGCTGTTGCACCCCATTCCGTGGCTCTCAACTCCATCCTGCAGGTCCCTTCTTGTGCTCCGTTCGCCTTTTCTCCTCCCCCGATCCCTTACACCATCTGCTCATCTTCTCCACTCTTATTTCCCCCACAGGTGATCCTATACTCGCCACTCGCCATATTCTACATCGGCGTGGTGTCTCACGGCGGGTCAGTGGACGTGTCCTGCTGGGCCGTCGCCAAGAGCGTGCTCATCTTCCTCATCTGCTCATATTCATTAGAGTGCTTTTCCTCCCTTATTCCCCCCCACAGGTGATCCTCTACTCCCCGCTGGCCATATTCTACATCGACGTGGTGTCTCACGGCGGGTCAGTGGACGTGTCCTTCTGGACCGTCGCCAAGAGCGTCCTCATCTTCCTCGGAGTGCCTCTCCTCGCAGCCGTCATCACGCGCTTCACGCTGCGGGGGTTGGTTGGAGCCAAGTGGTACGATGAGAAGTTCCTGCCGTGGTTTGGCCCCACGGCGCTCATCGGGCTGCTCTTCACCATCTTTGTCATGTTCTCGCTGCAAGGCCAGAACATTGGAAACAACATTGGAAAGGTATGGAGCTGCTTTCATTGCCATTGACGCTTTTCTTGTGCAATGAAGCTTGTTCTCACAACACCCTGTACTTTTAGACATGCAGTTAACGTATCAATTGTTGTCTATCCACGCATCCCCTGCCCCCCTCTCCTGCCCCTCCCCACCCCTTCCCTCTCACAGGTCGCTCGTGTGGCCGTGCCTCTCCTGATCTACTTCGGAATCGTCTTCTTCAGTGTTATGGCCCTCTGCTGGCGCCTTGGGTTCGCCTACTGCGACGCCGTCACTCAGTCTTTCACTGCAGGGAGCAACAATTTCGAGCTTGCGATTGCCGTTGCAGTTGCATCCTATGGCATTGGCTCGGACGAGGCACTAGCAGCAGTTGTGGGGCCGCTGATTGAGGTGCCTGTGCTCATTGGTCTCGTTTATGTCACGCTCTGGATCCGCCAGAAGCTCCAGTGGAAGAACAATGGGGCTGTGCTGGATGCAGATGATTTCTTGGAAAAGGAGTGAGCACGCATGCATTGCTGGGATTCGTGTTTATCATGTTAATTGGAATGCCTTGCTGTTACTGCTTCACTAAGGAGTACAATATCTCAATTGTATTTTTGGCATTCCACAAGCGCCCATTTAGAACGCTAGTCACAGGCAAGTCCACATTTAGGGGTTCGGCTACAGGTGGAACAAAGAGGAGGGGAGGGGCAATTCACAAAAAGCAGCAGGTTTGTGGCACCACAGGAAAGTGGAAATACTTTCTATCTACTGTCTCACACATTTATGGTTCTCAGGTGATGCTCCCCTTGAAAGAATCAAGGTGTCCATAAACAAATCCATTAACTTTCATTTCACAACGAAGTATCCTAGTGCGGTCTTCTTCATGCCAGAACCAACTTGTCTACAATAGACTTATATGTATGGCATGAACCGGCATGTATCGTTTAAAAGCTAAGGCGTGGGGAGGGCGTGAAGGGAGTGGGATGAGGTGCGCTGCTGGTTGGCAGAGCATTTTGCGGGTGGGAGGAGTGGGGGGGGAAGGACAGGTCCCGCCCCTCGCGAGTGGTGTCAGTTGTCGTCTGCGGCTTCTGGGAGCACAAGAAGCTGGCGTTTCCTATTCGTAGGCCTTGGCTGCTGCAGCATGAGTGGCGCAGCCGCCGCAAGATACGTGATAGGTGGGCGGGTTCCCCGTCCTTAGTAGGTCATCGTATCATGGTTACATCGTCGACAGTACCTAGGGGGAGACCCTCGATAGTATTCCCCTCGCGAACGTTATCGCGAAAGGGTGTGTGAGACCCGTTTTGGCGAACGCCTTGTAGGCTGCTCTGTTTCGCGCGTAGGCTGCAGTAGCGTTACCGCGTGACGCATGAACGAGGGGCGGTTTGGCCGTCCATTCTGGAACTATGGTGGGCTCTGTGCAGGTACCATAACGCGCAAAAAAAACAACACCCCGCTCGGCTCGGCAACCATTTCGCGGTGCGCAGGATGAAACATGCGGATGCCTTCCCCGTGTCTAGAGAATACCCTTCCCGAACGGGATGCCTGTCGGTTCAAGGGGGCTGTTTGTTCTTTCCCCTGGGCATCCCGAGATTCTCGAACAGGCTGAGAGCAAGAGCTGAGTGCTCTTCCATCCAAACCCCGTCTGTTCTGCCGAATAAGAACGGCTGACTCCGAGGAAGTATTGCTTTTGACAAGCACACTACTACGCTTTCTCGCGGTTTTCTGACTCTTATTTCCAGTCCTCCTGCCTTGCCTCATGGCTCCTCTCATCTCTTCCTTCAATGAGAATGTTCGTCCGATGCTAGATGCGATCGACAAGCTCCGGCTTTTAGGTCTCAAAGAAGAAGGGATCGAGCTCCCGACGATTGTGGTGGTTGGTGACCAGTCCAGCGGCAAGTCCTCCGTTTTGGAGAACCTGTCCGGAATCAGCCTGCCGAGAGGCAAGGGAATTGTCACTCGAGTGCCACTGATCCTGAGGCTCCAGGCATGCGCCGAAGGAGAGGATAAGATTACTATTGAATACACCCCTTTTATTGGTAAGGTGTCAAGAGACATACCTGACGAAGATATGATTGAGCAGGAGATTTCCGAGGCTACTGTTGCCATAGCTGGGAGCAGGAAGGGCGTCATGAATTGCCCGATCACCCTGGAAGTGCGGCGACCTGACTTACCTGATTTGACGCTGGTGGATCTGCCTGGAATCACACGTGTTCCTATTGAAGACCAGCCGAAGGACATCTACGACCAGGTCAAGGCAATGATCATGCATTACATTACTCCGAAAGAAAGCGTGATTCTTAACGTTCTCGCAGCTGAGGTGGATTTCACTACATGCGAGTCCATTGTGATGTCGCAAGAGGTTGATGAGGATGGCGATCGCACCCTGGCTGTCGTCACCAAGGTCGACCGGGCTCCTGATGGCCTCTACGAGAAGATCCAAGGAGATTCAGTGCGCATTGGACTTGGCTACGTGTGTGTCCGGAACAAGACTGACGCTGACGCTTCTCATGAGGATGCAAGAAGGGCAGAAGAGGCCTTTTTCAACAATCATCCAGAATTGTGCCAGATCGAGGCCCATTCCCGTGGAATTCCAGCCCTGGCTCAACGCCTGACGGAAATTCAGGCCAAGCGAGTTGCAGACAGCATTCCAAGGATCAGGCAGGCCATCCAGAAGGCACTTGCTGCAAAGGAGTCTGAACTGCAGACCATTCCGTTTGCAGCCACATCGAACGCCGCAGCATTGGGGGTAATTTCTTCAACGATTCAGAAGAGACGGGACATGATGAGTGGGGTCATCAGTGGGAGGTATGGCCCATTCCAGGGCGATGATGAGATGCACTACGCTGCCAGGCTGCACGAGAAGTTCAACGACTTTGAGGCTAAGATGCGGAAGGTTCTCCCAAATTTCCTTGGGAAAGACTACACTGAAAGGTGCAAGGAGGCTCTGAAAGAGGTGGCTGGGGTTTCGCTCCCGAACATGCTGGATCAGGCTATGGTGAAGCAGCTTGTTCAGGAGGTGGTGGACAGCATTGAAGGGCCGTGCCTGCTGCTGGTGAATGATTGTTTCGCCTATGCAACCGAGGTGCAGCAGGCTGTGGCGTCACATGTGTGTGGGATGTACCCTGGACTGAACAACGTGGTTCATCTCCAAGGTCTCAACGTCCTGAGGGAGGCTAAGGAGTCAGCAAGTCGCTTTGTTCAGGACATGCTGACAAAGGAGAAGCGGATTATCTTCACAATTAACCATTATTATATGGACACGGTCTCCAAAATCCATGTGAAGATTGCTGATTTCAAGAAAGTGCAGTCATCTACCCCAAATCCGACATTTGGCCAGCTTCAAGTTCATCCAGTTCCTCCCTCTGTTGGCGATTTCGCTTCCAGCACTGCTTCACTTGCCAATCTTATAAGCAATGACGACCAGGCTGCTAGGGATTTGCAGATCAACATGTTCTCGTATGCCAAGGTGATGCATAAGAGGTTGTGTGATGTGATCCCCATGGAGATACGGATGTGCCTTGAGAATGCTCTTCTGGATGGCACAGATGGCGCTGTATGGGGGGAGATTCATGGTGGGGACGTATCCAAGATTGCAGCTCTCAAGGCTGTGGATGAGCAGCGTAGGGATCGATTGGAGGGGAGTGTGAAAAAGCTGAAGGCATCTGAATCCACGCTACTGGGCCTTGCATTTGATGCGCCCAGGCTGCTAACCTAGTCTGATGATGGCGAGCGTTTCTGTTTGGAATGTCTGTTGTGCATGACATTTACATTCAGAATGTGGATCGTGTGGCCTGAAATTCGAATCTGCACATGGCACTGCAAAACCTTCTAAAGCCTGTATTCCCCCAGCTTCTCATCACTCACCGCTTCCGTAGTTCATAGTCAAATAGCACGACCCTGTTAGTGGGCACAGCTAGGAGCACCCCATCCCCTTCCATGGTGCTCTTTCAGAACTAATCGTCTCTTTGTAAGTCATCCCTGACCATCGTTCACCACCAATCACCATTGGTCACCATCGCTCACCCTTGGCTCTTGTCTACCCTCTTCCTCATATCTTCTCTGGACTCCCAGTCATTATGGCTGGTATTGGCCACCCTCCCTGGTGGGCACAACCCAGTGCATTGCCATTTTTTGTAGTGGTGCCTAAGTTTCCCCTGCCTAAGTGACCCATGTCCAAGTCCCCCCTGTCTAGGCCCCCCTTGCATAAGTTCTGTTGTATGATGTTCTCTGTTAGTATCACGCCTCCCTGATAACTTCTGTACTAATTTTCCTCTTTGTGGATCTCTAGTTTCCACCTCTCCCCTTTCCCCTCCCCCAGCCCCCCTCAATTCTGCAACATCGTGTGCTGCAGTTGATCCTCTACTCACGTCCTCTATTTAGTCAGTGGCAGTGAGTCAAAGGAGGCAAGTCAGTGGAGGCGAGTGTGAAACAACATAAGAGAAACCTATCCAGTGCTCCCTGCTATAGCGACTTCAGTCCTAGACTTGCCTCTTCCTCCTCTCAGATTGCCTCTTCCTCCTCTCAGATTGCCTCTTCCTCCTCTCAGATTGCCTCTTCCTCCTCTCAGATTGCCTCTTCATCCTCTCAGATTGCATCTTCGTCCTCTCAGATTGCCTCTTCCTCCTCTCAGATTGCCTCTTCCTCCTCTCAGATTGCCTCTTCATCCTCTCAGATTGCCTCTTCCTCCTCTCAGATTGCCTCTTCCTCCTCTCAGATTGCATCTTCGTCCTCTCAGATTGCCTTTGTTTCTCCCCACATTGCCTCTACTCGCTCTTGATTTGCCTCTTTTAAGCCTTTATATTCCTCGTCTTCCTCTGGGATGGCCACCCTTCCTCTCAGATTGTCACTCCTGGCAACAGCCATGTTTCAGCAAGTTTTACTGCACACAACACCCTTGCTTATACTCTGCACATCCCGCTCTGCCCACATGCAGGTTTCCCAGTTGACCGTGACCTCTGGGCCCATGTCCCCATGGCCAGTGACCTCTGTGCCCATGTCCCCATGGCCAGTGACCTCTGTGCCCATGTCCTTGCGGACCATGGCCAGGAATGTGCTGTTCTCCCGTATTGTGCCTTCTCCTTGCAGCAACTGTATATGCATGCTGCGGAGCTGCTTGGAGCGAATTGGTATGATGACCACAAATTCCAGCCATGGTTTGGACGGGCAGTATTGGGCGCGCCCTTAACCATCTGTTGTCGATGCAAGCCGATAACTGCACTTGATTTTTTGTATGCGGAATTGCTTTTTTTTTCCTGCCAACTTCGGGTTTTTTCCCTGCAGTCAGCATTCGTTGAATTTCAAAGATTGGTATCGTACCAGTACCACCTATAAATCCTTGTACCGTATATCCACTCATCTGCTTCTCCCACTCTCTTACAATCATACCCTCAGGTTGCTCGTGTGACTGCGACTCTTTGTACTGCTTTGGTACTGTCGTATCATTGTCTTCTCCTCATGTGGTGCCTTTAATCCGCCTATTGTGATACCCACACTCGTATTTCGCACCGCACAGAGCAAGAATGAGCCGACAGTTGCAGCTGTAGCGGGCCTATGACTAGGGCATTAACTCACTCGAGGCCTTTGCTGTAGTTGTAGCGAAGTGCAGAAGTGCAGAAGTTCTTGTGCTCGTCACTCATGTTTATGTTCCGGATTCACACAATGGATTCATTTTCTACATGTATTATGGCCTAGAAACTGGGTAACGACCTCTGTTTGCTACTCAAGTTCGAAGCTCCAGGCGCTACGGTATCATCAGTGCTCAAATTGCCACAGAATATCCAAGCTAGTTGCACAAGCAGGATCGCTTGCAATCTGCAGTGTCAGCACAAGCATCCAAAGCTCATTTTTCTTCCAAGCTCAAGATGCTGGCAGCTGTATCTAGAATGCAGTCTTCAGATGAACGGTACTGCAGTCCCAGCTCCTTCTCCGACTTGCTTTTACCAAATTTGGGGATTTTGCTCAAATTTCGCCTCAGGACCTCAAAGCTCACTGTAGGGATGGTCAATGAGACCAAATACACTAATGCATTTGGCATGCTGTACGACGGAGTCTTGGCATTAGGGTAGTTCTTCTTGATGACACCTGCATTCAACAACACACCTAGTTAGCCTGAATAGAACGCCCAACCCTTTTAATTGAGAAAAATGGTCAGAAACAAAGACGGATCACGCAGGTAGGGGGGTCAGAGGGGTAAATAAACCTACCCGCCATTTCTAGCATGCTGAGAGTGTCGCCATTGCAAAGAATATATCTTCCCTTTGCAGTATCCTTCTCCAGTGCCAATGCATGAGCAAGCACAACATCGTCAATGTGCACAATGCCAAAATACAAGTCCGGGGCCATGAAGAGCCATCCACTCATCAGTTGCCTTATCACCTGAACAGCCAATATATTAGCAAATTAGAGGGCAAGAAAGGGAATTACGACAATGCAAAGACAAACAACCTGAAGCATAATGGAAATACAGAATAACTTACATCAAGGCTTGTTCGAACATGCGCCTTACGAGTGGCTTTACCAAAAACCATGGCTGGACAGATGGTGACCAGTTCAAAAGACCAATCTTGTCCTTTTAGATCTCCTGCAGTCTTCCAAGCATATCTCTCTGCAAGCGTCTTACCCATCGGGTATGGATCTTTAAGACTAAGGTCTTGGTTCCAGTCTTCTTCAGTAAATACATGGTCCTTGTTGTTTGCGTAGTCAATAATTGCTGATACAGATGAGGTGACCACCACCTTTCTGTGACAACGGCAAAAAGCAATCAGCAGGAAAAGGGATAATTGATTGCAGGAAGGAGGAGAAAGCATATTGTGGGGACTCACAACGAAGAAGGAGAAAGAAGAGGGGGAAAGAGAATGAGGGAGCAAGAGAGAGATGCAGGAGAGAGGAGGCGAGGGGCGGGGATGGGGGTGCGGAGGTGAGAGGGTAGCGGAGTGGAATGCTGCACACGGAAAAGAGAAAACAAGGAACAATGAAAGTTGCTCACAAAATCGCTAAGCTCACTTACTTGGCAGTTTTGTGCTTGACGATGGAAGAGAATACATTTCTCGTGCCCTCCAGGGCTGCATCCACAACAGATTGCGGATTTGGCACACTCATACGAACAAGAGAGGCGACGTGGCACACAAACTCGCATCTTTCAACGGCTTCGTCGAAGCTCCCAGGCTTGCCCAGGTCGGCTGAAAAGAGCTCAAGTTTGCCTGGAGTGCCCTCTGCCTGTCAGAAAAAGGTAGGATGGTCACATTAGTTACTCATGCTCGTTCTGGATCGTTTGAGCGGTCTCTTTCGATATACAAACTTACGAGATCGCGAATCCATGACGTCTTGTCCTCATTTGTCGCGTCCCTAACTGTTCCGCGAACATGATACCCGCGATCCAGCAGAAGCTTGACGAGGTTGCTTCCGATGAAACCTGGGCCAATTTCGAACGGAGAAGGTCATGATTCATTATGATCGATTCAAATAGTTTCGAATGTGAACTAGCTAGGCCACACACGACATTACCAGATGCTCCAGTGACACAGACTTTCTTCCCCTGTCCCGGCAACGAATCGCTGTTAGCCATGGTTGACCACGTAGTTCAAACGATGAATCTGAACATCACTGTGAGCGACGCGGACCACCAAGTGGTTCCTCTACGCGTTATGTTATGATTTAGCTGGCAAGAGTTTGGAATACACACTGATGTTCAAGTGATGATAAACTAAACTAGGAAATAATGTATCAACAAGCACTAACCTGGTAGCATTCTCTACATTACAATATCGGCGATCAACAATATCGAAGATCTAAGAGTAACATAAGATTAAATTGATGCTGATACATAGAGTCTGCTAGGATCACTGAACCCCGATCCATCTTGCGTAGTCCACCCACCTGCAAGAAAAATCAATACGCAAGTTAAACGCCTGTACTACTCAACCAGCTCAACACAAATAATTTAGGTTTGGAAGAACCCCGGCAGGAGTTTCGGTGAGAAGGCAAACCACAACCACGCTTGAAACCAGGGAGGTGCGGGAGGCATATTGGTCCCAGTTTGCCTCCCAGCTTTGTCATTCAGGTTCTGTGCTTTAAAAGTGGTGAAGGCGTGGCATAGATAGGTTGTCATGACACCAGCATTGAGAGAAGATATTACTCACAAGAGCGAGCCAATGAACGTGTTGGATGTGCGGAAGAAAAAGGAGAGCACTGAAAGGAGAGTCTTGTTGCCATGGAATCTAGGCTCCAGCCACTGCTGCTCGATCACACCAGCCAAAATTTGGTACCTGCTCACACAAAAAGTTTACATATATACAGAAATATATATGAACCACACTAAGAGTTGAGAAGGTTCAGAGGAAACAAGTATTATGGTACACACACCCATGCACAACAACAGCCTCTGTCAACAGCACACGCTTGAGGATGCTAACCCCTTCCCTCCATCACAACCCACCTTAGGTTTGCAGAAATGGCTGCATAGGACCCATAGGCCAAGCTTGTAGCGAGAATAGGCACCTCCAAATCCGGTGGAATGGTTCCCGCAGCTGCAGTTGCCACCTCAGCAGCCGTGGCCAGCGCAGCCGCCACATCAGCAGCCGACGCCGACACAGCAGCTGCCACATCGGCAGCAACCAACGGGTCCAATACCAATGCAGCAGTCGTGGCGGCGTCAATGGCAGCAGCAGGGTTCAATGTAGCAGCCAGTTCAGCCGACGAGTCTAGAGGGAAAGAGGCAGCAGTGGTGAGGTCTAGGGAGGGGATTGTGGCTGCAGCAGCGGCCGGGGGAGCAGCAAGCTCCCTGCGCACCCATTGGAGAGCGTTGGTCATGCCACAGCCAAACTGGGATGTAGTGACATGGGTAGGGATAGGATGTGGCAGAGGTAAGAGCTTAGTTGAGTGAATGCTGGAGATCAAGCATGGCATGGCGAAGCCACTTGAGAGCTCTCAAAAGTCAGGCATGTGTGGTGAAGCGAGGCATGTGTGAGGAAGTGAGGCAACTAAAAGCAATATCTGGGTAAATGGGGATGGAGAGAGAGAGAAGCATGAGCTTACCAGGGATGCTGTCGTCCCAACAACCATGAGCTTCGCTCCGTTCCTCTGTGACCGAGCAAGGAGAATGGGTGGGGGAGCAGGACGTAAGTGGAAAGGTGGAAGGTGGTTGAGAGCGATTGCCACTGGAGAGGAAGGAATTCTGGGGCGGTCCAAGGGAGGGTTGGGTAGGATTAGGTAGTGCAATTGCGATTGGTGATGTGAATTGAGGTTAGTGGGTTCAGATGGGGAGGGGAAGGCAAGGGGGTATTGAGTGCAGCAAGCTGGTTGGACTGGGGGTCCCACATTTTGTGGATGCATGGAGGGAAGTCTCCTGCAGGAAATGGGTATGTACCACGTGAGGGAAATTGGAACAGCAACGGAAGGGATAAGATCACCAGAGCATCAGCGGAAGCAGCAGCAGCAGTGGGAGCAGTGGGAGCAGTGGGAGCGGAAACCAGGCTCAGACTCACCAGAACAGCCATGAATCGCTGCAAGAGAGTGTACTCCGTGCCACGCACAGGCACCTGGCACGGTGCAACATACACAAGGAAGGCAGGGGTAACGTGTGAGACGCTCGTTCACTGATCGAAGCATTCAATGAGAGCACACGCAGAATGGGAACATGGGCAAGAAACGACATGACAAATGTTCCTTTCTTGGGATATGCGGCTTGACCCAACAACTGCTCCTGATAGGGAAGTGGCCCACCCAATCACACAATCCCCCCGCTACGCTTTCAAAAATTTGCGGGGCGGACAGTTTCCTACCTGGAAAGCGTTATCGGGGCAGGTGTCGAGAAACTTTTGCAGGGCGGTGGCCTCCTTGGCAAGAGCGGGGTGCAGAGGGATGGTGGGCGCGGGCAGCCACACGAGCATGAAGTCCGCTATCAGCGCCATGATCTGGTGGCACAGTGGGTTTCAGTGCGGTGGAGAAGGGAAATGAGTGGGTGCAGAAATGGTGGGCGCGGGCAGCCACACGAGCATGAAGTCCGCTATCAGCGCCATTATCTGGTGGCAGGGCGGGGTGCTGGTGGCGGGATGGGCAGGGAAGGGGCCAGCCACACGCGAGCTTTAAGTTAGGTACGTGTTGTGCAAAATGTGGAGAGAAGTGGTGGGTGGTTGAGTGCGGTGGAGGAGGTGCGTGGTTTCAGAGAGGGTCGTGGTCAAGGGAGAAAGGGGGAAAGGGGCCATGGAGAAACTAATCAACGTTTGAGGGGGGTTTGAGTGGAAACGGAAACACTGGAAATTGTATGACGGGAATATGGAAACGGAGGAAAGGGGACAGGGGGAAGTGGATCCGGGGGAGGAGGTCAAGACAGTACCGGCACAGGGCAGTAGAAGCGGTTAATCGGGACGCTAACATCGTCGTTTCCATGTCTGCAATTGGCGTCAGCGGCTGCTCACCACGTCAGCAGCTGCTTACCACGTCAGCAATGACGAAGTCGAACTCGGGGAAGAAGGCGCCTCGCCGCCTCTCCAACTCCGCCGAGGTCTGCCAGAGGGGAAGCGGGACGCCACGAGGGGAGAGAGGGAGAGGGACGGCACGGGGGAGAGGGGGACCGAAACAGTGCCGAGGGGAGAGGGCGATCAGACAAACAGCTCAAGCAGCAACGGACAGCGCAGCGACGGGCGTCCTTGGGTGCGAACTGCCGAACTGCACAAACAGTCTGAACGGCTTTGATTGCAACGGTGCGAACGAGACTGCTTGCACCAGTCTGAGTAGAGTGCGAACTCGAGGTCCAGTCTGACCAAAGAGCTTGAGTAGAGTGCTCCAGTCTGAAAATCTCTGTTACGAAAGCACTCCATTGAAACGCTCTTGGATTTCGTTCTGCATGGAGCTTCTGCCACTAAGGCGAGTACCAGGTTGCAAATGGGGTCCCAAACCTGGTGCCAGAATACAGGGCACCAGGTTCAAACCACCTTCAGACTGAATCACTAGCGCAAGCACTCTCGTTTGCCCTATTGCAAAGCTGCACTTTTGCTTTGAGGCGCCGCAGAACGAGTATCAGTTGTAGGTGCGTGCGAACGAGCAGCTTCAGGTGAAGGCATTTCGACCCAGGCACACCGTCAATCGACGATCCGTCAAACCAATCGGCACCTTCTAATTCGGCTCAAAAGTAACGGAAATGGTCCACCTTCAGATTGTCCAATCCGGTCCCATCCAAACAATCCAATCCAACCCAACCCCAATCCAATCAGATTCGATTTGCCGCTCGTACCTTGGTGCAGATCCCAATGCCGCACTCGATCGCGACCTTGGTCATGAACAGATCGTCTGCCAGCAACCGTTCCTTGAACCCGCCGAACCGCATCAAATACCCCAGGACCACTGTGTTCTCCATCTCCGCGTATCGCTCCACCACCGCCCCGGGCACGCGCCCGCGCGCAATTGCGTCCGCCAGGTCCGCGGGAAGGCTATCCGCGGACCGGCCCAGCCGCGCCAGCACAGCCGCGCACTCCTCCGCGTTCTCCTGCGATGCCGCCGTGCCGAGAGCCTCTACCGCGGCGTCTGGTGTAAGCTCCGGCGACATTGCGCTTCCGGCAGCGGCGGGAGCGGGGCCCCGGAGGTCGCGCTTAGCCGCTGATCCGTTCTCCCCTCCAAGCAGCTTCACAGAAACGCACGACTTTTTCCGCGCCGGCCCGAACGCGGGCCCGCTGGGAGAAAGGCGCGATCGAGCGACTGAGGGTCTCAGGGTTCGGGAGGGTTGTGCTCGGAGCGGGAGGGGGGAGGGGAGTAATCGAGTTTCTGCGCGTTGACCGCATGGCTGGCGTAGGAAGGTTGAGCGTGGGGAGGCGGCGGAGATTTGGCAGATTGTTGTTCCGCGAACAAAGGTTTGCGAAGCAGCTATGTCGGCAGCCATAATTGGCTATGCGCACGAGATCACGCAATTGCTGGGTATTTAGGAGCTTCACACCAATATCTCACGCGACTATGTAGTGCGAGGCCTCGAACAGTGCTGCTAGACCGGGATAACAGCTAGGCTCGATGGTGCTAGGCAACGATTAGTGGCGGGTTCGAATAAGCCGCTACTGCTGCTTGTGTGTACTCTCCAGCAGCCAGGAGGAGGAGCGGGGTCGGAGGTAGAAGGGGAGAATGGGGAGTGTTGAAAAGTGGAGAGCAGAGAAATGGGGTGGATTGGTGGATCCGTTTGGCTGTTGCTGCTTTGGCAGAATATTCTGAGTGTTGTTGGACAAGCTCGAGTCTACACTATCAGCAGCGATGGAAGCCGCGAGGGGAGGGGAGGGGCTGGTTGGTTGGAAGCGCGCGGGGGAGGTGGGAGGCAGCTTGGGGGCGCTGGTTCGGGGGGAAAGAGGACGAAGCTGAGAACGAAGCTGGTCTTTGGCTCGGTTGCCTGACAAGCCCGTCAGCTTCTTTCGGCTCAGTAAAGGCCCGTCTCGCCCCTAGCTTTGTGGTCAGATCAGAAGGCTTGTGAACCATAACGTGGGGGAGGCCGAACTTTGTACTTGGCAAGGATTTCATGCCTTCGTGGTCGCCCAAGTTCCCATATCAGTTCCCGCCAAATTGGTGTCAAGAGCAGACTCGGCTCGGACCTCCAGGTGGAAGACCTGGTACGGTCTGGTACCTAGCCTGCATTGAGGAGCGCGGCTTGATCAGTTTCTGGTCCGTAGCGCATATTCAGAACGTGGATATCGTGACGCTACAGATTGGCTAATCTAAATATCAACCATTCATAGTCGGCGACATTTCTCAATCTCAACAACGCACGTGGTACGTGACATATCAAAAGGTAGTTTATTGACGTGGCCGTACCCATGTGCCCCTCGCTTCTGGGAATGCTCCGCTATTATCATATGGCGGAAAATCGCCATGACATATCGAGCCCCAATTTTCCAGATTATATGACAAGGAAGTAGCAATGACCACTTCGATCATTTCATGACATCGTAGCAGCCCCTACGAACTTCACTCGGAACAGCACACAGTTTCTCTTGCTGTGGAAATTTGCCCTCTGGCTGTTTCCCTTGACACGCATAGGCATGCCAAACGCGTCTACAGTGACTGACCTCATTCGCAACCTCACCACCACCCCTTCCGCTGTTTGGGCCGCTGTCAGCCAAGCCATCTCACCGTTCACTCGTGTGTCATCGTATCGCAGGTGGCCATCTGGCGTCAGCTTAAACGTGAACCTTGGGAGTGTCGCGTTCTTCTTCTGCCCTCCCAGACACATGATCCGTGACATATCAGCCACCGTGTCAGATAAATCCAGAGATGACCCGCGTAAGAGGGCCACGAGTGTACCAGGCTCCAGGTTCTGATCGTACGCTGTCTTGGGACGAAACGACTGCTTGGATGCGGCGGACGTGCTACTAAGAGCAGGGAGTGTGATTGTAGGAAGATCGGATTCGTACCCCTCGAAAACGAAGGAGCACATCTCGGGAGTGGGCGGGCAGCTGAACTTTGTCGCGACGCCAGGGCCAGGCGGGGTGGAAGGAGGTGGAGCGGAGGGAGGTGCGGGGGGAGGAGGAGGTGGGGGGGGCGGGGGGGAGGGAAAACAGTGATCATCGTCGCCATCATCGTCGCCGTCATTGTCGCCGTCATCGTCGTCGCCATGGCCTTCACGGTCACTATCATCGTTATCGTCGTTCTCGTGATCGTTATCGCCGTTCTCGTGCTCATCATCACGACGTAGATCGACAAAGCGGCTCTTGCCTTTTGTCCGCTTGACCTTCTTAGCTGAGGAAGATCCCTCCTCAGTGGAGCCTTGCCTCGCCTGCTTCTTCACATTCTTCTTATTCTTCTCCGTTTTTTCATTCTTTCCATTCTTCTCCTTGTTCTTCACTGGACTGTCGTTTCTGGACTCCTCACCCTCCGTCTGTTGCCCCGTCTGCTTAGGCGCCTTCGTCTTCTGCTTCTTCTTGCTGCTGGATCCGGTGAACGTAATCCCATCGTCCTCTTCCTCGCGTCCGTTCTTCGGCTTCTTGTTCTTATTCTTATTTGATCTCGCTTGCCGTGCAAAGTCCACCTTTTGCAGCTCGTTCACGTCCTCACTCCTCGGCTTTAACCGCCGCCGACGGTCGATCAAGCTCGTCACGCGGCCCCATTCTTTCGACACGTTTGCGAGCATTCGCCCGCGCCTAACTGTCGCATGATGTGCCTGCTCTACAATAGTGCTCGCGGTGGTCGCAGGCGCGGAAACTTCATCACGGGGACCCTCGGCGTCGCAGACAACGATTGCTAGAGTGAGCAGCGCGACCAAAGCGACGAGGACACGTGGCGACGCCCGTACTAAACTGCAAAGCACCCATAATCCCTCACGGTCCATTTAGACCGATAAAACTACTACAGATAACAGGGTAAAGTTAATTGCTGTTCACGCACAGCTATGGAGCTAATGACAGTATCTTATTTCTAGAGCCGTACTTATCCTCCTCATACAATGCCTTGGGCAATTTCTCTTGCGGTGTACTTCCGTCACGTTACGGAAGTGCGCCCTCCCCTGAGCTCCATCAGCCAGCCGCGCAACGAGAAGGACAGCCCCTGTATTTGACGGCGCCCTCCCGCTGTCAGCCAAGCTGTCAGGAGCAGGATGGCCGTCCATCCTTGCACGAGGACGAAATCCACGGATCAAAATCCCTCCCTACCGTCAGAAAGAGTGTGGTTGTAACCTCCTCGGCCGATCTCAGAGCGCAGGTGGAGCAGGTGAACCTGAAAGATGTTTCAACAAAGTGGTAGACAACGAATACTAACGACCACTGGTATTGTGGGAGTTGCAAACCATCACTTAAGAGCTGGCGCCTTGTGAGAACACTGATAGCTGATAAAACGTATACTGAGTGTGCTTCTGAAGCGTATATTCAAGGTGGGATGTCGCCCTCCTCCTCTCGAGGTACAGTACACAGGATCTCGAATGGTGGAACACATCTGCTGATGGATAAAAAAAGGCTCCCAGAAAGCTGGAAGGGTAAAGCTAAGCAACCGCCCGAACCGACATGTCGACACCTCACGCCGCAAACGAGATGCCTCATGAGGGTGTGGGGCACGTCCACTTTCACGGGAATATATCTAGCAGTCGCTTTCCGCCACGTGGAGACACCTCTTCCCTAGTGGTCAATGACTCCAATTGCCCAAACTTCTGTGCACGTAAACAAGGCAGTCCCGTGCCAACCGTGCTTTCAGGAAGTTTGCGGTGCGGAGTCACGCAGAAGTTTGCAATCTCTGCCATCCAAACCAGTTTGTGGTGACCTTCCAGAAGCAAGCAATTTGTCGGGGAGAATCTCAATGGCCTGGTTCGAACCCCACGAGGTCAGTCACAGAAAATTCCCATCCTCGCCTTTTCCTCCCACGTGGCGCTTAGGATAAGCTCCAGAAGACCCCTTGTCCAGGCCAAGGTTCAGTGAACCATGGGTCTTTGGAGTCCACGCGACGCCTTCCGCTGCTGAGTTGTAAAATCGCCATCTCCCCCCCACCATGCCTCGCCCCTTGGCCCCGAAAAACCTCCACCATCCACACCAGTCATCTTCACACTTCCAAAAACATTTCCAAGGCAGCTAAGAGATTTACGCATACCTCACTGACCTCCAGCCAGGCTTTGTGCTTCTGCGTGCTGTTGTGCGTTCTCTGGTTATTTATGTGCTTGGCCAGAGGTGTTGAATTAGAGATCAAGCGCTTCTCTGTCAGCTGCAGCAGTCCAACTTAAATCTAGCTTCTCTCTGTCCTCGTCTGTAGTAGTACTTGCTCTGGACATCGATCTATAGTTATTTAATTCCGTCACTACAAAAGTTCGCTGGGTTTGACCAGTCCAGAGTTCCCATCTTTTATCCAGTCACATTAAACATCTGCACAGATGGGTCTCGAAGAGGATCTGGCGATCTCGCCGGCTATATCGACCGCCATCGGCGGGTTAGCAGGCGTCATAGAGGTGCTGCTGCAACAACCGCTGGTCACATGGAAAAACGCCGTCCAGGACATGAGACCCGTCCCGCTCCACCCTAGATTGCTCTACCGTGGGGTGGCCGTGAACGCCGCGTCCATTGCGCCGATTAACGGATTCCAGTTCGGCGCCAACACCTTTTTAGAAGAGTGGTTAGCGGCGCGGGGTCAGTTAACTGACACGACGCGGACGGGAGCGGCGACGGCGGCGGGTGCAATGTCGGGAATAATAACGGGTCCGGCTGAGCTGCTCATGATCCAGCAGCAGAAGTGGGGAGGGTCGCTGGGTGCGAGACTACGGGATGTCGTCGGAGAGCACGGCGTCTTCGCACTCGCTAGAGGAACGGTACGCTGGACGTTGTTTCGGGGCATGGGATTTTCATGTGGGATGCTGATTCTAATGCCCTTTTAAACAAGCTCAGTTGCGGCTCCATCCGTTCAACGTAAATCCTCATTGTCGCTTCGTGCACATCCTTGTTGCCGCTTCGATAGCGCTTTATTCAAAGTGATAGGGCGACATCTGCCCGGAGCGTTCGGATAGATGTTTTGGGTCGATGCGAATGACATGATGGGTACCACCAACTGTTCAATGGCTCACTATATGGTCGAAGTCTTGAACTCTCCACATCTGCTGGCGGATCTGCTAGCCATCCTCCTCCCCTCGCCTTCATCACCCCCTCCTATTCTTCCCTGCAGAATCCCGCAGTGGTCAGAGAAGCGATTTTCACAGGGGCGTATCTGGGAGTGATTCCTGTGATGACGGAGCACATGGAGAAGGCGTGGCCGGTTTTCGCGGAGAGGCCCGTCGCGGCGATGGCGACGGCATCGGTGCTGGCGGGAGTAGGAGCGGCTGTGCTCACGCAGCCCTTCGACACTGTCAAGACGCGCATGCAGGCCAACCTTGCAGACCCTAATTTCAGGTACGGGAGGTTCAGTTCGTTGCCCTTATTGTACATCTGTGCGTGGTCTGCCTGATCCATTTGCTGGGTGAGTAACAGTGGGCAGTTTTCTCATATTCTGCAACCTGCTCTCTTTCATCTCAGGTCTATGAGTGGTACATTCGCATGCATGTGGAGAGAAGGAGGCAGCAAGACCCTGTTCAGAGGCCTCATCCCCCGAGCGCAGCGGGTGACATTCGCCGTCTTTATCCTCAGCGAGGCGAAGGAGAGGCTCACTGAGCTGTACCTCAAGCTCCACCCGCATCCGGCAGCCCCGAGTCATGCCAGTGATGCCAGCAGCAGCATGTCACTTAGCCACGTAGATGCCAGGCGGGGGGCAGGCCACCTAGATGCTGCTGCAGTTGCTTACAGAGCGGCAGCTTGTGAGTCTGCGACAGAGCATGTTTAAGGAGTTTCACGGTCAGCAAGTGGTGTTAGAGAGGATGAGCTAGGAGCTGCTGAATTTGTGGAGCTGTCTTCCAAGCTCTTGTGCATAATGAAGAGTTTCTCCTTTTGGGTCAAATATGGCCCACGATCCAGTTTCGACTGATTTGTTCTTATTATTGTATCTTAAGTTACAAATGATTACCCATTTAATTCTGTCCCACTACGGTAGTTCATTTGATTCTTTACTTGGGCACTGGCCCACCAGTGGATTTGATGCTTTACTTGGGCACGACTGTCCTGCCACTACATGTGATGCTTAACTTGGATTTTGCTAATCAAGAGACCCGAAGGCTCCTCAGTAGATGCTGTATGTGTCCAACTTTTGCTTTTCATTTAAACACCAGCATCATTATTTCCTACCATGGCGTCCTTAATTGCTAACCAAGCAAGTTAGCACAAGAGTATACACCTAATGTCCCTAACACTGGACAGAGTTGAAGCGGGAGAGAAGCTATAGCAGTCCTTCCAAAAATTGGAACCTCCGTCCATGTACCTGTCATGTGGGCGAATGTCAGATCACCACCTTATCTATTGTCTACATAGAAGACATGTTGGAGAGGCCTGCCACGTTTCCTAAAACTTTGGCATGGATTGCTCCCCCATGGCTCTCCATTACTGCTGTCACCCCTCGCTCCACCATCCTGTTTGGTGGAGAGACGGCAGGGATCAGGAGTGGAGAAGTTTTAAAAAAGACTCAGCCAAAGCTGGCAAGCAGGAACTTGGGGCCCAGCTTTTGCTACAGGCTGAGGTCATGTTATATGCAACCTTATCTCTTCTGACTGACCTGAATATCGTGGCGATCATTAAAGTCAGGTAGATGACGAATCTAATTAATTGCCGTCTTCTTTGAACGCTTATTTGGTTGAAAACTTCCGTCACATCCACCATGTGCTCTTTCCTGAGGTATCTGTATGGTAAACAAAAGGGAAAATAGGAGGTCAGATGTTGTAGACGCTAATGCTCCACAGAGAAGAGGAATCCGACTTGCAGGTTGATAATAGCAGCATTATGCATGAAGTCATGGCGACACTCACAGGTGAAGGTGGTAGAGGGCGAGAGGGAGGTTGATAAGGAACATGAGCCAGTGGCCAGTGAGAGCGAAGACAACGGTCAAGCCTGAATGGAGGGAAATCTCTGGAAAAACGAAGCCGTTGACTCTTCTGGCAGCATCATGTGGGTTGATGAAGTCGTTTTCAAGGTCCGATATACAGATGAGCTGAATGAGAAGGTGAAGGAACAAAGGAGTCCAGCCAAAAGAGTAAAGAAGAGGAAACAGATTAGAAAACACGAGATGGATTTGATCTGCACCAGGCTGTATAGGGGTACACACAGAACTGTTGCGCGTAAACAAGCTCGGCGCAAGCGACATCTCTGCCGCAGGATTCTTGTGAAAATATAAGATTAACATGAACCGCAGCTTCCAGTGCTTGAAAACTACAACCAAATTCCACCACAAGCAAACGCACCATGTACATGACGATGCCCACTAACGCTGCTGAGACAAGAAACGCCACCATCCAGAACAGTATCGCCCAAGTTAGCGACTCTTGAACTGTGAGGAACGCCATTCTCAAACCCTACTTCTGGCCTTGCTCAGTACAGGAGCTGGAAGAATAAAGCGCCTCGTGTTAGTGAAGGCGATACTGTCAAGATGGGTCAGCTGAGAGGTTCTAATCGAAGATGCGAGTGACGTGTAGTGCGACTAAGCGATTGGTTTAACTAAGGAAATGGTTTCGGATCAATGCACATCGAGAAAGAATAGCTCCGGCCATGGCTATGGAAACTCGTCGCGGACAATCTGCCTCGTGCTTTTGAAATGATCCTCCTGTTAGAATTCAGGGATGGAACCAAAAAACGCGACACTTATTTGCGCACTTCGATTAGAACAAGCCTATGCTGGCGCAACTCAATTGAACGCACTAAGGGGAATTAGTTTGAAATAATGAGCTCTGAAACATGAGCTACGCTGAGTAAAAGCTCCGATGCGCATGCGAAAGGTAGGCGGCAGGGAACAAAATGCATGCACCGCGAGTCTTTAGGCATGGCTCAGCCAAGCACGGAGAGCCGCGATATTGGAGATCAAATTCATGCCCTGGTGAGAAGACGTCGCCGCCATGGCTGACGTCCGTTGAAAACTCCAATTTGCAAGCCGCGGCGGAATGCGAAAACGGTAACATACACCCCAAAGGGACGGAAGGTTCTTCCTGGCGATTCGCTTCGCCTCTTCGCCCCCCTACCAAACCGGACCTCGCCGTGTTTCGTTCGTCTTCGCCCCGTTTCGCCCGCGATCTTTTGTGCGAGGAAGAGGGTGCTGGTTTGTCATGCGGGGATAGAATCTGACCGTTGTGTTGCATTCCATAAACGGTTCACTGATGTTGGGATTTGATATCAATTTGGCATGAATATGTTCATAGTACTGTTGTATATATACAGAGGCTTTTACCATATACTGCTACACATAAGAGGCTAAACAATTGCTTCCGGATTCCGAGTTCATTCATCCTCGTCCTCGTCGTCGCTCTGCAGCAAGAAAGAGAATTCACACCCAACAGAAGAACCAAGAGTCAGGAGGCAACATATGGATACCGTAGGTGGGTGGGTGTAAGTGAGAGAGCACCACACCAACAATGAAAGCAAGACCATGTTACTGATATTCAGATCATGAGCTGTTACATCACCTCGAATGTGTCAGGGAGGGGGATGCCCTGATCCAGCTGGCGCAAATGTCCAATGGTGAGTCGCTGTGATGAGGGTAGGGGAATGTGGGGAAGGCAAGAACAAGCAACACCAATTAGCCACCAGTGTGTAAACCATCACCACATAAGTCGCTTAGATCAGCAGCTGTCACGTCATGCCGCCCACTATCAATCAGCTCACCTCCACATCACCACTATCAGCTCACCTCCACGTCACCCGCTATCAGCTCACCTCCACATCACCACTATCAGCTCACCTCCACGTCACCCGCTATCAGCTCACCTCCACATCACCACTATCAGCTCACCTCCACGTCACCCGCAATCAGCTCACCTCCATGTCATCAACGACAAGTCTACGGTCGCAGCGCCTCTCCAGCAGCTCGAGCACTTCCATGCCATTCATGGACTCACGTGAGCCCTATGTCGATCAGCAGTGGCTCCCCGGCAATCTCCAGGTCCTGGGAGGAGACGGGAGGAGACGGGAGGAGAGACAAGGCACAATGGAAACCCATGGCGCATAGCGCCTCTCCAGCAGCTCAAGCCTCCATGCCATTCATGGATGTGAGACCGATGTCAACTAGCAGAGACTCCCCGGCTATCTCCAGACCGATGTCAACTGGGGAGATAAAGCACAAAACAAGATTAGAACCAGGACTGGCGCTAACATGGATACACATGATGGCCTTCACAGCTGCTTCCACACCCATGCCATCCCACTTGGCTGCACCCATGTGTTTGTCTTTTGAGTCAACTCAAAAGCCAACTAGAACCAAGAGCTGCACTCACATGGATACCCATGATAGCCTTCACAGCTGCTTCCACACCCATGCCATCCCACTTGGCAGCACCCATGTCCTCCTCTTCTTCCGCAGCCCCATCCCCTTCTGCATCTTTGCCCTGTCCATCCTTTGCCCCTGCCACGTCGCCCTCTGCTGCTGCTGCTGCTTCTGACGCCACTGGCAGTGGTGCCACTACATTTGCTTCCTCCTCTGCTCCATCCGTTCCCTCAGACCGCACCCCTGCTCCTGCATCTACTCCTGCACCTACACTAGCTCCTGCAGCATCACTCGTCCCATCTCCAGCGTCCCCTCCCTCCACACTTGTTTCCTCACTCACCCCTTCTCCTTCCACCTGTCCCTCCTCCTCTACCATCTTCTTGCTGGCTGCCTCCCCCCTTTCCCCACTTTCCCTTTCCTCTTTCTCGAGGCACCTCAGCAGAGCTTTCCTCCTCCACAATCACCACGTCCTCCTCTCCTCCCTTCGCCCCAGACGGCTCAGGCATCGAGTGCAGACTCTCCTGAGCAGAAAGAGAGACGACAGGGGGGAAGCACAAGGATAGAATGGAAGAAACACGCTTCAGTGGCTAAGTCACCGTCACTACAGTCTATTTTGCTGAAGTTGCTGCCTGGAAGCAATTCGTGCTTACACTTACAGAAATCACTCCTCCCTCCATTGTTGAGACGTCCCAAAAAGGGTTTCTAGACTCACAATGGTCTCACAAGCGTCTCACAATGTGTCTCCCATGCTTCTTGAACTTACAATGGTCTCTCCAGCGCCTCCTTCCACATGCGAGTTACTGTTGAGCACGCTGAGTGCGCCTGAGGTGAGTCGGTGGCTCGTCTCCTTGCGCCGTATCTTTCCACTCGTGGTCTTGGGGATCTGATGAGCGGGAGAGTGACGATAAAGAGAGGTGAATTGAGTCAGATGTCTCGCGAATGCTGCCACTCATGGCAGGGAACAAAAGAGAACATGCAAACAAAACAACGGCGAGGCATGTGTTTAAAAGCAAGCTGGGGTCGTCTCGGAGTGGAATGATAACCACGGTAACAGGCATGACGCCATGAGCCCGCACCCCTGAGAGCCTGCACGCCGCTCATTAGGCATAACCCCACCAGGCCTCCACACCCCACAATACCCACTGCCTCCCAATCCGCACCACGGCACTCACCGTGCGAGGGGGAATTATAGCCACGATGGCAGGCATGACGCCATGCGCCCGCACCACGGCACTGCGAATCTCCCCCGCTAGCTCATTCATCTGCTGCTTCGTCAACCCACCCTCCCCACCACCTCCTACTCCCCCTCCGCGCCACCACCCTTCCTGTGCAACTGCTTTCACCTCCACCACCACTGCCAACACCTCCTCCTCCTCTCCCTTCTCCCCAGTCTCTCCTTTCTCTGTTGTTCCTTCCTTGCTGCCCGCTGCCGCCCCGTGGCTCGTCTTGTTCACGCTGAAGGCGGCGCAGCAGCCGGGGCGAATGCTGTCCGAAACGGACTCTACGGTCAGCTCGATGTCCTGCGGGTAGTAGTTCTTCCCGCCCACGATGATGAGGTCCTTGATGCGCCCTGTGATGAACAGCTGCTGCGCCACCACCAGCCCCAGGTCCCCCGTGCGCAGGTATGCGCCGCCGTCGGAGCCTGGGCCTCCCTCCCTCATGCGGGCACGGAATGTCTGTGAGAGGCAGGAGAAGGGAGGGGAGAGAGGAAGGAGTTACAGGGGTGGATGAACAGCTGCTGCGCCACCACGAGCCCCAGGTCCCCCATGCGCAGATAAGCTCCCTCAGCTCCCTCATCCGAGCCTGTCGCCCCCTCCCTCGTGCGCGCCCGGAAGGTCTGGAAGAGGCAGGAGGATGAAAGAGGGAAAGGGAAAGAGCTACAGGGGTGGATGAACACATGGGGCGCAGATAGCTAAAGGCAAAGGCTGAAGCAGCTGACAGGTAAAGGCTGTCGGCTCACCTCCTCTGACAGTTCCGGCTTGCCCCAGTAGCCACGCGCCACGTGGCAGCTGCGCGCCCAGATCTCACCCTCCTCGCCCTCTGCACACTGCTCACGCGTCTCGGGATTGACGATGACCACCCGGCCGTCCACAGGGTACGTGGCGAGGTGACCGCTGCTATGCAGAGTAATGTCCGGGAGATGCAGCAGCTGGGGTGAGGGTGGCAGTGAGGCACATGGGGAGGGGGCAAGGGTAGAGGTAGGCGGCATGAGTTCTCTTGATATCTGTACACGGGATACGTGCCGAGGTGGCCGCTGCTGTGCAGAGTGATATCAGGGAGGTGCAGCAGCTGGTGGGACAATGATGGGTGGGGACAGGGGCAAGGGGGAGCAAGAGGGGCAGGGGAAGCATGGGAGAGTGATGAGGTGGGCATTGGTGTGTAGGGGGATCTCGCCCTCCTCGCCCTCCGCACACTCCTCCATGTCTCGGGGTTGACGATGACCACCCGGCCATCCAGTGGGTACGTGGCGAGGGGGCTGCTGCTGCGAAGAGTGATGTCGGGGAGGTGCAGCAGCTGGTGGGTGGAGAAGGGAAGACGAAAAGGGAAAGGGGGAAGGAAGGCAAGCGATGGGAGCGTGGGTGGATGCCTGTCCACGGGGTACGTGGTGAGGAGACCACAGCTGTGATGGGTGATGTCAGGGAGATGGAACATTTGGGACGGAAAGGGAGGACTAACTCTCGAGACACAGGGGCAACGGAAGGGGTAGCAGTAGAGGAAATGCGGCACGCAGATTAACCCACCCCAGCCTGTTTGATTTCAATGTACCTTGCTGCCCCATCCTGACACGCCGACCACATGCTCTGCCAGCCCATAGCACGGGCACATGCCACATGGGTCCCACCCATACCGCCCCAGCACCACATTCCACCTCTCTATCGCCTCCGGTCGCACCGGCTCAGCCGCGTTCAGAAAACACTCCAGCGACGAGAGGTCCAGAGCGGTGGGAAGCGCAGCAGATGGGTTGAGAGCGGTGGGGGAGGAGGAAGAGGGGTTGTGAGGGGTGGGGAAGGAGGAGGGTGGGAGAGAGGCGGAGAGGAAGCGGGCAGGCAGAGCAGCATCTCTGGAGGGAGCGAACTTGCGAGTGGTGAGGTTGAGAGCAAAGTTGGGCGCTGCTGTGTGGGTGATCTGGGGGCGGAGGGGCAGGAGGGGGAGGAAAGGTGGAGAGAGGGGAAAAGGACAGATACTTGCGAGAGAGCAAAAGGAAGAAATCTGTAGCAAACAGTAACAAGGAGAGGGAAAGCGAGAGGGGTCGGCAGGGCAATCTAAAGAGGACTTCTCCCTCTCCCCGTGCCGTCGCCTGCAGCCGCATGTACACTCTGCGTCATCACTCACCTGGCCCACCACCCTCACCAGAACCACGCAGCCTGCCAAAACCCAACCTCCCGCCCTCTCTTCTCACCTTGAGGCGGCTCATCCACTGCAGCCAGGATGCAGGGCGATGGATGAAGTCGATAGGAGACATGTACACCCCACTGCCGCCCGCTGTGAGCGTGCTCAGATACGCCACTATCAGCCCCAGGTCGTGGTACTGGGTGGTGGAGGGAGGGTTGAAGGGGGAATCAGGAAGGATCATTGGATGGAAGGGAATGAGTGACATGTGCACCTCGCTACTGCCCGCTGTGAGCTTGCTCCGATACGCCACTATCAGCCCCAGGTCGTGGTACTGGGTGGTGGAGGGAGGGTTGAAGGGGGAAGCAGGAAGGATCATTGGATGGAAGGGAACGAGTGACATGTGCACCTCGCTACTGCCCGCTGTGAGCTTGCTCAGATACGCCACTATCAGCCCCAGGTCGTGGTACTGGGTGGTGGAGGGAGGGAGGGGAGAGGGAGGAGGGAGGGAGGGGAACATGCACATGCACGAACCGTTGCCACCTACTGTGAATGTGCACATGCAATGTTTGCCATGTGATGTGATGCGAGCACTGCTTGTGTGCTTCTGTAGCAGCTTAACTCAGTGGCCACACAGCAAGAGCAGCACGAGCTCACCTGAGGCAGCCAGCTAAAGAAGCGGATACCGGAATGCATCCGCAGGGTTCTGCCAGGGGAAAGGGGCGAGTGCAGATGGATGGGGGAGGTGAGACAAGTTTAGATTCTTCCATAAAATACTGTGACCTGTCTCACTCTCAGATGCACATAGTGTGTCGGGAGTGACACTTGTGCGAGTGTAAACATGGCGCCCTGCTCTTTCCCTCACTCCGTTTAGCGCAGAGCACGCACCGGCGGATGAACATGACGTTGTGGGCGATGTTGGTGTGCGTGATCATGACGCCCTTGGAATCCGCAGTGGACCCTGACGTGTACTGCAGAAACGCTATCTCATCACTGCTGCTGCTGTTGCTGGTCCCGCCAGTTCCATTCTCGTTGTTGCTGCTGCCGTTCTCGGTCGCGCTGCGAGGGAGTGGCTTGATGCCGTTGGTGTTGTACCAGTGCTCTCCCGGCCACCGCACGAGATTCAGCAGCGACAGGCGGATCTTGGAGCGATACCTGATGGGCACAGAGGGCGGAAGGTGAGGAGCACTAAGGATAGGCCAGGTATGGCATCAAGACTCGCGCAGTACCCGGCCTGGCGGGAGTCTTGGAAGTCTTAAACAAGCTTCAGCAGAGACAGAAAGATCTTGGTTGGAAGAACCTGGCTTAGAGCTGCTGTGAAACAAAGACTGGGAAAGTGCACATGGGCGGCCTAGTGGTGGGCGATGAGCTAGTACTGCAGTAGCAGCTGCACTGCCTGCGAGCTTCAGGCACGGACTCGCTCAGAGTCCCAGGGAGGTGGACTCACTCGGACGTGGAGAGCACGATGCGTGCCCCACAGTCATTGACGAGGCGAGTGAGCTTCTCCACGTCCTTCTTCAGCTCACGCGGGTTGGGCGGGTACACTGGCACCGCTACCACTCCTGCAAAACGAGAGGAGAGCGGGTGGACGGAGAGGAGGTGGGCGAGGGAGACAGCTCTTTTTAACGTCTTCAGCTCGCGGGGGGTGGGCGCGTAAACTGGCACCGCTATCACTCCTGCGCAGCGCAAGGTCAGAGGGTGGGCAGAAGGGGACAAGGAATTGGGGGGAGGGGGAAGGGCCAGGAGTGAGCTGGCACATCCTTCTTGAGCTCTCGGGGGTTGGGCGGGTACACTGGCACCGCTATTACCCCTGCAGCGCACAAGGGGAGAGGGAAGGGGGAAAGAGAAGGGAGGTTGGCGGACCTAAGGGGAACCTTTCCCCGTGCCCCATGCCTACCCCATGTCCAATACTCCATACTCCATGCCCCATGCCCCCTGCCCCATGCCCAACGGCACCCACCAGCGCACAGACAGGCGATGAAGGCAATGAGGAAGTCGAGCCTGTGTCACATGCCCATCCCACATCCCACATGCCCATCGCACATCCCACATGGCACATGCCACATCCCACATGCTCTCATGCTCTAAGGGCACCCACCAGAGCGCAGGCAGGCAATGAAGGCAATGAGGAAGTCGAGCCCCGGCGGGTACAGCAGCACCACTCGGTCGCCCCGCGCTGCCCCCCACTCGCCCACCAGCGATGCACTCACTGCACGTGACAGTGCGTCCAGCTGGGGGAATGGGGATGGGGATGGGGATGGGGATGCGAATGAATGAAGCTAAAAGATCTAAAAGATGTATATATCACGGTTCCACGGCTACTGACAGCTCCTAACATCCACCTAAAATTGCGAATCGTTTCTCATCCACGCGCATCTCTTACCCTGAACTGTCATGCACGCACCTCCTCATAGGTGTACCACTGCTTCATCTCGCCCTTCTCCTCCACCCACGTCACCGCCGCCTTGTTAGGAAACTTCCTCGCGTTGCGCTCAAACAGCTCCAGAAACGGCAACGCCTCGTCGCGCAGCCACTCGGGTCGCTCGTCCAATGGGATGCCGTCCTGCGGCGGTGGTGGGGACCACTTGCGTGGGTTGCCCGCCACGTCAGCAGGGCCGGGGGCCAGCTTGAGCGGGCTTGCGTGTGGCGCACGCATCCCTACAACAGACGGCGTGGCCGGGGCCTTGGCGGGGGGCATGGGAAGAGCAGTATTGGCGACGGAAACGGCGCCTGAAGGGAAACTGCTTGCAGCAGGGACGTTAGGAGCCATGGGTGCTCGGGCTAGCGGCAGAAGTACTACTAGCAAGACGCGGATGCTCTTGGGTGTGGGGTGGAGTGTGGTGGGAAGTGGCGGGTGGAGGGTGGTGATCTGGGCGTTCCGATCGAAGGGATCGAGGCTGGCAGCGGCGGAGGGAGACGAGACACGAGACGGACGGGCCCCTGGTAGACGAGCGTAGACAAGTGCAGCAGAAGCAAGCAACAAGCAGCGCACAGCACGTCGAGTTGTTCAATGGGGATGGTAACGAGGCCGTGCTTTTGTGCGGCTGAATTCGCGGAAGCAAGTCAACGCATGAAACGAATGAGTCGGTTCTCTCTCCCTCTTATCACCTCTCGCATGCACCAGTTGACGCATCGCTCCGTCTCGCGTATCGTCTCTCTTCCATGCAGAGCGGCGCGGTTCGATAATTCCGTGCAAGTGCACTTGGCGAAAGCGATTGGCGAACATCGCCATGTGGGTGGGGGCACGCTAGAGGAGATCGATCCGGAGAGGCGGTGATTCCAACCTCACTGGTCATCCGAGAGACGGATGGCATCATCTGCACCGCACGTCACTTTCAAGAGCACTAACCAACGGTCAAATTTGACCGATTAGACGATTCTGGAGCCTTGTGGTCGCGACGCTGGTTGCTCTCCGCAGAGCGCACCGAAGGTACAGTGCAACTGTTTCGTCGTCACGAGGCGGAATGACAGGCAGGGAGACGGCATGCTCCGGTGTGTGATACTTTCAGGCAGGTAGAGGAGGAGAGGGGGGAACCCCTAGGTGTGATCGTCTGAGGCGGTTCAAGAGTCCACATGACAGGCAAAGAGAGACGTCGCTTTTCGATGTGATATTCAAGGGCTGCTGTCTCGGTGACTAGCAGCAGTGCCTGTCGGAAAAGTGCATGCTGACAGGCGACGGGTGACGGACAAACCCACGCTACCCTATCATCGCCCGTTCGTCTTCAGGCATGCCGTCGAATCAACAGCGGTCCCAATCAAGCGATATCGATGTGACCAGCAAGCTGGAAGCAATTCTGCTCCGAAACCAACACGTCATGAATTTCCAAAACGCAGCTAGGGGAAAAATGGGCTGCATGTCACAGATTATCAGGCCAAAGCACTCGTTCAGATAGTTGGGCTGTTAAGTGACTGACCGACGGTGTTCACGAAAATGATATGGGCGTGTGTGATTTTAGCTTTGGTATAAGTTTTAAATTTTAAAAATCGAATGTAGCATCTGAACATGAGGTGAACAAAAATCGACTTTCGTTGATGGCAAAGTTCTAGCCGAGCGTCTCGCAAACGGTTGAAGCACAACCACACACCCACGTTCGAATTTGCACATTCGACCTTTTAGTGGTAGGCCGAGCCGCCCGTAGGTTATTTAGGTTACCTGGTTTTTGTGGTGCGCTCATTGGTGCACGGACAAATCGCGTAATTCGCGTAATCTTGTGTACCCAAAATAACACATGTTCGGTTCATCGTGCACTCTCACGTTCGTGCGTAGATTCGAGCCTTGTTCACTTTTTGTTGGTCGCATTTGTGTGTTTTCGATTTAATGTGCATTTCGCCAACCGTGTCGGGGACATTGGCGACAGCGGTAACCAGCTAAAGCTGGACCTAAATTACGAACCGAAAACAATTTCACACACGCCCTAAACATCATGGACCACGTTACTGTTACGTGAAATATTCGCATTTTACCGAACACTATGAAGTCTGTGAATCCTAGTGAAAATTGTGACTGCTTCTAGGGAGGATTTTCCAACTTGATGCCAGCAGTCAGCAACGCATCCAATGAGAGACACGATTCGGCCTGACGTGGGCAGCGCCATCATCCAGGAATATGACGTGTACGATTTGATACTGACCGACGAAACTTTTATCAAGACTCGCTGTAGCTGGGGATCCATCCGACTAATTTGGGTAAGGACGCACGCTGCTGGAATTACTGGTTGTTGATTGAAACAGCGTTTTGATCTGGGGCAAACGTTGAAAGTTCCCAATTCCGAACCACACCTTCTAGGTGTCTGCTGGTCAACAACTACCCTATCAATCCAGCCTCTAAAATTTCACCAATTTCTTCCCGCTATCACCACTCACCGACGCTCGTGCCGCAAAAATGCGTCCGAGCGTTTCGAGGTTTCCTGCAGGTGGAGACAACTGCCCCAAATGGAAGTTCCAGTCCGGATTTCTGACATGTCTGGTCCTCCCACCCCGTCGCCACCAGTGAAGTTGACACCTGCAGGTTAAACCAAAAAGTTTTTCACGGCGCGTGCCGAACACCCCGCCTGTGCACACAGCACGCACGACACTCCCAGGATACACGTGGACCGCTTGTCGCGCAGGGGCTTCACAACAAGCTCTAACCGCCGTCCGATTGGCATCACTCTGATGTTTGGGTGGTTCCGCTGCGCTCCGACACGTTTTTTTCTGTGCAGTACCGCCGCTCGCAAAGCCGAAATCTAGACTGATTATTTTTTTAAGCGAAGCTCTCCCCCACGTCCCCCCCTTCCCCTTTCCCCGCGTGTCTTCAATATCCTTATTCCACTGTGCCCTCTCCGCCATTCATCCCGCTTCTCTCAGCTACTTGCGCAGTCATCGACATCAACCGTCGCCCTGCCGCATTTGTTTCACCCTTCATCTCCGCCACCGCGGAAGTACATCCACTCCATGTGGCACCTCCGCGACAGTGCGCCGCAGCCTAGGGAGTAGATGGTAGGTGCTGCATTCTCTAGACTAGTCAGTAGAGTCTTGATGGCATCAGCTTTGTCAACATCGAGGTCAATGCAAGGGAGTTAGCAAATACCTAGACCAGAGTTAGCAAATGCCGAGGACCGAAAGTTAGCAAATGACGAGGACCGAAACTGAGCAAATGCCGAGGTCGTTGTCAACACAGTCTGTAAATGAAGTCGCAGCCACTGCCTTCCACCTCATTCACTTCTGTAGTGATTTTTGCTTAATTCGGGAACGCGAGCAGCACGGAAGTCTCGCATTTCTCACCTAAAATCACCAACTCTCACACACTGTACAAACGGACAGACACAAGCAGCTCTAGCCACTCACTTGCGTACTTGCGCTCTAACTTCCTTACTCGCGCCTAGCCAGGAAAATGGCGGCAGCAGATGCGAGTGACCCCTACTTCTCACTAAGTGCAGCCCTGCGGCAATGCACATTCACGGTCGACGTCGCTCCGGAAGCAGGGAGTCCGTCCTTTGTCGCGTCGCTTTCCAGCTCCGCGCAGCCGATATCCTCGCTCGCCTTCCACGGTGTCTCCTATACGGTTCAACGCAAGAAGCTCCTGCAGCCGAAGTCGCAGCGCGTAACGAAGCAGCTTCTATGCGACGTCTCCGCTTACGCGAAGGCTGGCGAAGTTACCGCGATAATGGGAGCGAGCGGCTCGGGGAAAACCACGCTCCTCGACGTCCTCTCGGACCGCATCTCTTCGCGCAACCTTACTGGGGAGATCTCCTTGAACGGCGCTCCGGTGAAAGGCGACACGATCCGACGGCTGTCGGCGTACGTGATGCAAGACGACCTGATGTTTCCCGCGCTGACGGTCCGCGAGACTCTCATGTACGCCGCGGAGTTGCGGCTTCCGCCGACGGTTAGCCACGCGGAGAAGGCGGAGAAGGTGCGCCGCCTCATCCGCCTGCTAGGCCTTACCAAAGTGGAAAACTCCAAAATCGGCGATGAAAATAGCCGCGGAATCTCCGGCGGCGAGAGGAAGCGCGTCGCGATTGGCGTGGAAATTATCGGCGATTCGAAGATTTTGTTTCTGGATGAACCCACGTCGGGGCTGGACTCTACTAGCGCGTTCCGAGTCGTGAAGGTGATAAAGAGAATCGCGGTGCGGACGGGGAGTATCGTGGTGATGGTTTTGCACCAGCCGAGCTTTCGCCTTCTGAGTCTTTTGGATCGGCTGCTGCTGCTCGGCGCCGGACGGATGTTGTTTTTCGGGCAGCCTGCGCAGCTGCCCGAATTTCTGTCCGCGTTCGGCTGCCCGCCGCCTCCGTTCGCGAACCCGACAGAATTCGCACTGGATGTGATCCAACGGCTGGGACACGAGACGGAAGGTGGCGCAAAGCGCGGGGAAGACGTGGACGATGAGGATGACGAGGAGGAGGAATATGACGTGGATGGTACCGAGATTATAAAGTGCCACGTGGCGGGGGAAGCTGCTGCGAATAAGACAAATGCATCTGAACATCTGGCCAGGCAACCGTCCGGCGGATGCTGCGACGAGGGGACGGAGACGGAGGCCGAGACGAAGACGGAAAACCTGACGGACAAGAGAGACGGTATTCAACGGCTGGCCGACTTCTTTACCGTCTGGTCGCAAGGAGGCTCCAGTGGTATTGGCGACTCGTCCCGCGGTACTAGTGAGGGCGGCGAGAGCTTTTCCATCCCTCCGAGTAGCCCCTCCACGTGCTTCAGCCCGGATCAGGCTGCAGTGGCGGCAGCGACTGCAGCGGCTGTAGCTGCTAGAACTGCGGCTGCGGCGGCGGCTGCAGCGGCCGCGGCGAACGGGAATGAAATGGTCACTATCCCTACAGGCGCCTCATCAGTTGTTACTTCAGGTGCTTCGCCGGATGCTCGAGTGGCGGAAACTAACAGCGGCGGCGGCGGCGGTGCCAGCGCGCAGATGGGGTTCCTCGGTGAGCGCCAAAGCGCGGGTGCGGCGCAGCTACAGCCTCTCGGGGAGCGCAATTGCGCGGGCGCGGGCTCGCAGACAGGGCACTGCGGCGAGAGCAAGTATGCGAACGGGTGGTGGCGGGAGCTGCGCGTGCTGATGAGCCGGTCCATGCGGGTCATCGCGCGCACACGCGCGCTGTACCTGCTGCGCCTGCTGCTCATCATGGTCACGGGGTTGCTCATCGCGTCGCTCTTCTGGCGCCCGTCCTTCAAGTGAGTCTCATGTGCTATGGATTTAGTGGCCAGTGGCCTGCAAGTGAATCTGGTCATGGTCTGCTCGTCGCCTCGCTCTTCTCGCGCCTACTACGTCTGACAGACGTACGCTTTTAGAGTCTCCCTTTCGCCAATTGAAACCAATTTTCGCTCTCCCAGTGGCACTCAATCCCTTTCGCCCTCTTCTCGTTCCCCTGCTCCCTTCTCCTTCCCTTCCCCTCCCTCTCCAAACTCCCCACCCCTTCCCCCAACCCTTCCCCGCACTCTCCTTTTCAAATTCCAGCGCGGAGGGGCTGCACGAGCGGCTGGCGTTCATCTCGTTCCTCGTGTGCACGCTCTTCTTCTCCTCCGCCGACGCCACGCCCTTGTTCATCCAGGTGAGCTCATAGGCTCCGTCCCCCCTGTGCCAGGTCTCTGGCTCTCATCCAGGTCAGCTTATACGATGTGCCCCGAGCCCCCTGTGTGCCAGCTTTTGAGGCGCCTCAAAAGTAGCCTCCGTCTTCCCTGTGCCAGGTCGCTGGCACTGGCCCAGGTCAGCTTATACGATGTGCCCCGAGCCCCCTGTGTGCCAGGTGCTACCGTGTGTTACCTGGTACGGCCAGGTTTGTCACCCTGCATGGAATGGGGTACAATCGTATACCGCCCTGCTGCCGACATCCATGGTGGCATGGACACCATACATGGTGCACCTGCCTCTTCACATGCTCATGGCCCTCGCCATCACTCCCAAGTCCTGGTGGCACATCATCCCGCCCAGCTCAACGCCCTCACAATCCATTTTTCACCCCTTCCCAACCCCTCGCATCCCTTGATTGCATCCCGTTTTCCTCCTCTTTGGCCCTAACCACCTTCAGGAGCGCAACATTTTCATCCGGGAAACATCGCAGCACGCATACAGGCCGTCCACATACATGGTGGCATCGACGCTCGTGTACCTGCCTCTGCACGTGCTCATGGCCCTTGCCATCACTGCGGAGTCCTGGTGGTGTGTCAACCTGTCCGGTGGAGGAACCTCGTTTTTCTTCGTGGTGCTCGTCTGCTTCTGCTGCCTCTTCACGGGGAATGCCTATGCCACGTTCGTCAGCGCTGCTGTCAACAAGTGAGTGCTGTGAAGCTTTGCAGAGTGGTACCAAGAAGTGTGTGTGTGAGAGAGGCGCTTGCCTGCTTCTGCTGCCTATTCACGGGGAATGCCTATGCCACGTTCGTCAGCGCTGCTGTCAACAAGTGAGTGCTGTGAAGCTTTGCAGAGTGGTACCAAGAAGTGTGTGTGTGAGTGAGGCGCTTGCCTGCTTCTGCTGCCTATTCACGGGGAATGCCTATGCTACGTTCGTCAGTGCTGCTGTCAACAAGTGAGTGATGTGAAGCATTGCAAAGTGTTACAAATTGTATGCATCTCCCTATGCGTTCGTGGTGCTCGTCTGCTTCTGCTGCCACCTTTCTCAGTGCTGGTGTGAGCAACAGAGTGCGATAAAGCCAGTGAGTGTATGTTGTCCCACCACCGTCCACCCGTGCCTCACTGGTGTCCACAGTGAACAAATGAGCGCAAGACATGTAGCAGCGACAGTGCTGTCAGGTGGATTGTGAGCAAGCGAACGGATCTAAACACATGCACCCATTATGGCCCGTTCCTCCTCGAGCAGCTTTGCTTCACTTCCATCACAAAAGCCACCTCCCATCCCATCAACCTCTCCAGCCCCCCACCTTAATACGGTGTCATCCTCTCTCACACCATAGCCATCCCTACCATCATTGGCAATTCCCCTTGCCTTAGCAAGCTTATCACCCCCCTGTTTTCTCCCATCATTCCCATCCCCTCGTTTCCTGCACTTCTTTCTCCTCCTCACAGTGTCATCCCCGCCTTCGCCATCGCAATTTCAACCATGGCCAAGTTCGCCCTCATCCAGATTCACTCAACGACCCTCTCCTTTCCTCTCTCCCTCCCCTCCCCTCCCCCTCTGCCAGTGTCATCCTCGCCTATGCCATCGTCATCTCCACCATGGCCAACTTCGCACTCGTCTGCGGCTTCTACATCCAGCGGCAGAGCATCCCACCGTTCTGGATCTGGCTGCACTACCTCTCACCGGTCAAGTACGCCTACGAGGCAGTCACGCTCAACGAATTCACTGCAGCCGGCCCCTCCACCTGCTACCAGCCCGCAGGAGATCTCTTCGCCGCCACGCCTCTCTCCGTGCTCCTCTCACCTGCTCAGGTGAATCAGTCACTAGCTGTGCTTCGCCCGGGGTTGGCTCGGACGCCGTTTGCGGATTTGTCGGTGGGGACGTGTTTGCAGACAGGGCCGCAGCTGCTGGTGTACTCGCTGGGGTTGACACAGATGACCAAGTGGGAGTGTGTGGCGGTGCTGGTGGGGATGGGGTGTGTGCTGCGGCTGCTGCATTGGCTGCTGCTGGTGAGGCTGTCTCGCACCAAGAGAGGGTGAGTGAGAGAAGGCTGTATCTGGCGCTGAAAGGAGATGCCGAGAGCGCATTCTGTTAGAACTGGCATTGACTATGGCAGTTTAGTGGGATTCACCCTAATTACTTTGTGTGGAGGATTGGGGAGGCATTGGAGGGGTGCTTGCGGGTCTGGGGATTCATGTGATGCGTTAAAGCGGAAATCTGGGGAGGGAACCCTCAAGCTGAGGTGCATCGCACTTGATGGAGGTGTTGGCAGTATCCTACGATCACATGCGAGTGCAAGCAGTAAGGCGTTGCCTGCCATGGAGGCCAGGTGATTGATTCTGGGGAATAAGTAGTGTTAATCGGACATTGGTAGATGTGGGACAATCTCAGGCTAGTTGTGCTGCTGTTTTCTAGATTTCTTAAGACCACCAGGAGGCCTCCCTAAAAGCTCCTAGCTTGACTGAAGAGCTAGGTGCTTTTTGTGATGCCCTCATGGTGTGACCGTTGTTTTACTCCTTGTGTACCAGCTATTGTTCTTAGCATGAGTGCTTTGTTCTGTATTTATTTTGGATACTCGGTCATTTTTAGTGGTGCACCCCAGCCACTAGGCGAAACAACCTGTCATTTCGGTTAGACACAACACCTGGGGCCGACTTTTGTGATTGGCGGAGTCGGTGTAGCCATGTCGGGTTGCGTAGGCGACCCACAACCAGCGACAGATGGTGGTCAGTGGTTCAAGACCATACAGCTGTACTACTGTTCTTGGCTGCTAGGTCATGGTGGTGGTGTATTCTGCCCAATAGGTCATGGTGGTGGTGTATTCTGCCCAATTCAACGTAGGCTTTGCTGGCGTGCAAAAAATTCTTCGAGTTTCCCTAGCTCTAGCTCTACCAATCCCGATGCACTAACCTCAGTCACTAGAATCTCCTCCTGCCCGGAAGAGCCAACTCCAACTGCCCTTCCACGCGGAAAACCAGTCAGTGCCACCGCGTTTTCCTGGCTGCCAAAATCCAGCTCCCCCAACCCAATTTCCCAAGAAGGTGTCGAACTCGAACAACCAGCAACAAACTTTCCCCCTTCTCCAACAATTCATCCAACCATGTACAGTCAGTTGATCAATGTGGTTCGGCGAAAGGCGCGTTCTACAAGCCACCGAAACATCAAACCCATGCCTTTCAACGTGCGCCACTAGACACTCGCTGCAGCGCACCAAAGCATGGTGGCGTCGGGTCCAAGGACCACTGCTTGCGCAGCGCCTCAATGTGGCGGTGTTGGGAAGGGGATGGAGGGGGGGGGGGGGGAGGGGGGGGTTTGTTTGGCTTGGGTGGGTTTGGCTCGGGGTTTGGGGGTGGGGGGAAGTTGGGGAGGAAGAGATAGTCACTGTTGTCGGATGGAATACCCTGCGGTCTTGGAGGGAGGTTCGGGGCGAAGGGGAAGATATGCAACAGGCTTGGGAAGACATTTCGGCGACAACGCGCATCCAGCGAGGCAAATTTCAACAACCTCGCCCCTCTTGTTCCTCTCTTTCCCCTCTCCCCTCCTCCCACCTTCTCACACACGAGTGGAAAAACTCAGACTTCCACACTGATGTCATCACGGCACGATGCACAAATGCACCATGCTGCTTGTATAACTTGGGCTAGGAGCTGAGCATTTTCCTGCCATTTCAAGCGAGAATCGCAGCAGCACCGCCCACGTTTGCCAGCGCACGGCTGCTGCAGCTCAAGCATCCCCAAAGCACCCAGCTTGGAAGAGCGACCGCTTGGAAGGCGACTAGAGGCTTGGGACGGCTTCATTGTGTGAGCTGCGAGTCATCTTCTGCACTCTTATTGCATTGGCATTTCTTACGGAGTAACTTGAACGATCCACAACCAGGACTCATTCCTTTTCGACGTCACGCCTCTCAGACCTACTACCATTGCATTAACTTTAGATCCGCGACATAGCGTCAACTCAACGACCCCTTACTCGTCGACCGAACGCGCCATTCCCCCCAGACACCCAGAATGGACACAGAAAGCGCCTCTCCGCGAGCTGCGCCTCCTCCACATTCCGCCCCTCTCCTCCCCGACTCTCCTATCAACGACGCCGCTTCTCACGCCGCCGACACCGCTGTCACCATCTCCTACCAAATGCGCTACTCCGAAGAGTCCTCGCCGGATCGCGTGTCCGCCTCGGATTCTTCCTCGTCGTCGTCCTGCTCATCATCAACCGAGTCAGAATCCGATCAAGTTGAGATCGACTGCGGTTCGATAGACGAATCCGAAGAGGGGGTGCTCAAGAAACCACTCTACGCCAGGACCATGGAGCTCAGCTTTCGGCACGTGTCGTACACCGTCTCTACGCGCAGCAAGCGCGGGAGCGACGCCGGCGCTGGAGGGAGTGCTGCCGCCAGCAGCCGAAGCGTTTCCCAAAGCGGAAGCGGCGGGAGGTGCGGGAGCAACGGGAGTAGCATCAGCCGAGCGAGCAGCAGAATGAGCTCCGTTTCTCGACAGCTGGCGATGAAGAAGCATTACAGCCGTACAATTCTCGCCGATATCAACGGCGCCGCGAGATCCGGCGAGGTCACGGCCATCATGGGCGCGAGCGGCTCGGGCAAGACGACGCTGCTTAACATCCTCGCGCACCGCATTGCGAAGGAGCGACGGTCGGGCTCGGTGGAGCTGGACGGCGCCGTGGTTCGCGGGAGTACAATGCGGCGCATGTCGGCGTACGTGATGCAGGACGACCTCATGTTTCCCGCGCTGACCGTGCGCGAGACGCTCATGTTCGCCGCGGAGTTGCGTCTCGCGGCGAACGGAGTGACGAAGGAGGAGAAGGAGCGGAAGGTGGAGAGCCTGTTGGAGCTGCTGGGACTCACCAAGGTGGCCGACTCGCTCATCGGAAACGAGAGCCAACGGTAAGACGAAAAATAAATATCTTCCTTGGTTTCCTATTCTCGTTCCCCCCCTCTGTTCATCTTGTCTCTCGGTGTACTCGGTAACTGTCATTTCGCCATTGTCCTGTAACATGCTCATTCTTCACCATTCTGCCCATTTGCCTTCTCCTCAATGCCTCCTCGCTCATCGCATCTCCCACTCGCGTCTCCCCCTGTTCTTTTTCCCCGCAGCGGTGTGTCCGGCGGTGAGCGCAAGCGCGTGGCGATCGGAGTGGAGATGGTGAGCGATCCGCGGATCCTCTTTCTTGACGAGCCCACGTCCGGTCTCGACTCTACCAGCGCATACCGCGTCGTGCGGACGATTAAAGACATCGCCGTGCAGACTGGCAGCATCGCGATTATGGTTTTGCACCAGCCTAGTTTCCGCGTGCTGTCTTTAATCGACCGTCTGCTGCTCCTCGCGTCGGGGCATACTATTTTCCACGGACCGCCTCCCCAACTTCCGACGTTCCTCGCATCGTTCGGCTGTCCCGTGCCGCAGTTCGCTAATAATGCCGAATTCGCCCTAGATCTTATCGAGGATTATCAGCGGTCGGAGCGTGGGGTCGCGGATCTTGTCGCATACGCCGCGTCGTACCAGCAGTTGTCACACATGTCACAGGACACCCTTCAGTCGTCGCTCACGAAAACGAGCGTCGCTGAGAACTTTGCCGCTCTTCCTGCCCCTCATTCCACTTTGGAGTCGAACTCCTGTCGCGCCGACACCGCCGATGGCTCTGTCGCCGTGCGGATCGACGGCTGCGCAAATCCCGCCGTCGATGCCGCCGTAGTCGCCGCCGCATCCGCCGCCGTGATCACCGCGCAGAAGAGCATAGTCGGGGAGAAAGCGGAGGACAAGAGCGCGGGGGACACTCGGCGGTACGCCAATGGGTGGATGAGCGAGCTGATGGTTCTGACGAAACGAGCGGCTTTGAATCTGTGGCGAACGCCGGCTCTCTACCTTCTGCGCCTCGCGCTGGTGGCCGTGACGGGCGTCATGCTCGCGACGCTCTATTTCAACCCAGATGAGAGGTTAGCCGACGATTTGAACGAATCTGGTTCAGCCGTTTTTCCGAAGAATCGCTAAATCAGGTCTTACAGAAACATTTCTCTATTTTTTTTGCTTAACACGGATTTCTCCGCTCCCTTCATCTGTGTGCTCTAACCGTGTCTCGTCCTTCCTTCTCTCCCCGTTTTCCGCATCTTCAGCTTGTCGGGTTTCCAGGAACGACTGGCGTTCTTCTCCTTCTCCATCTGCGTGCTCTTCTTCTGCTGCCTGGACGCCGTGCCCATCTTCATCGAGGAGCGAAACATCTTCATCCGCGAAACCACACGCAACGCGTACCGTCCCTCCACGTACCTCGTCGCCACGACGCTCGTGTACCTGCCGCTGCAGCTCGCCATGGCGTCGATCTTCGTGCTCGAGAACTGGTGGGCGATTAATCTCACGGGCGGCGCGGCGGGATTCTTCTTCATGCTGCTGTCGTGCTTCCTTATCCTCTTCTCGGCCAGCTCATTCGCCATCGCCATCAGCGTCGTCGTGGACCAGTAAGCTTGCTTCTCCCTTCTCCTTAAACCATTTCCCTCATCTTTCCGCCATCATTTCCTATGAGCTGTTATCTACATCTACAATAATCTATCTGCTGCTATTCCCGCATTGAAGTCCCTTCGTAATTCGTCCCAATATACTTTCTATCCCTTCTCTTGCTCTCTCCTTCTCCCTCGTCCCTTCCCTAAACAGCGTTGTGCTCGCGTATGCCGCTGGAATCGCTCTTATGGCCTACTTCGCCCTGGTTAGCGGCTTTTACATTCCCAAATACAGCATTCCCAACTATTGGATATGGCTACACTACCTTTCGCCTATGAAATACGCTTACGAGGCGCTTATCCAGAACGAATTCACCCACGGCGGACCCTGCTACATCGCCGCCGGAAGCATGTTCGATAACACTCCGCTGCAGCCTTACGTTAACGCGACAACGATGAACAAAGCTTTTCTGGGAATGAGGTCGCTTTTGGCGGGTACGCCGTACAGCAACATTTCGGCAGGGACTTGCTTACAGGACGGGCAGCAGCTGATGACGACATTGGTGGGGCAACCTGACCTGAATATGTGGATGAACCTGCTGGTGCTGTTAGGGTTTGGGCTGCTGATTCGCTTTATCACGTTCCTCCTATTGGTCAGACTCAGAAGCCTGAAGCAGCAATAGGGAGCAGCGGCCAGTTAGTGTCAAAACAATGCATGAGCGAACGTCTGGAATAGGCCAGGGGGGAGGCTGCAGTGAGCGGGTGGAAGAAGGGAGAGGTGGGGAACATGGAGCTGCGGCGCCTAAGAACAATACGTTAGCTGGGAGTGCAGTTTCCCTGGAGCACCATTCCTTACGCACAGGTGCATGAGATTGGGAAGGGAAAGGAGGTACTATGCGTCGCAAAACAAGGAGCTTTTGGTTGACAGGCGGGGTAGTAGTGTCAAGGAGCAGCAGGGTCCATGCCCGTCAGCCATGGAATTTCCGGTATGGGCTGTGTTGGAGGCACTGCGGCTGGACATCTTGGTTAGCGTTTTCACTATCTCAGTGAAGACAGTGATGAGCCTGCTGAAGCAGGAACAACACAGACTGTTGGAAGGTGGGAAAAGGGCTTGCGAGGCAGGGCCGGGGGCGTGCATGGAGCGAAGTGTGACCTGACCAGCCTCAAGGGTCGGATGACAACATGATGGAGGCTTCTATGCGAGGATTTAGTTTGCCTGTTGCTGCTGCTGCTGCTGCTGTTGCGGTCCCATGCTGCCACTGCTACATGCGCGCTGTGCCATGGCTTGCCATGTGCACTTTCATGCGTAGTGTCAGCATTGACAACAGCAGCAGCCGCATCACCATGGCTCTTTTCTTAGAGACAGTTTATGGTATACTACCTGTGTGCTTTTTTGTTTTTGTGCTGTGCAATAAAGTGTTTCCTAGTTACGGTACAATCATTGTCCTACAGTGTTCAACTTCAACTGAAGTCCGATTGGTCAGGGTGTATCATTCCATTGGTTCATAAGCTGAGATGGTGATGATGAAACAATTAGCAGTTGATGGTTGTCTTGAAGGGAAAATATGCCGTTCGTAACCATCATGGGAAAACATTTTTGGTAAAAAAATAAAGGGTTCGGTCACTGCAAAGGGTGTTTTCACGCGACTGATAAAGCGTTTCGCGGAATCAGTCACAATCAGCTGGTAAAAAAAAACGCGAATGGTCACAGATGAAACTCCCGCCAAAACAAAATGAAACCCAGAAAGAACCTGGATGCAGTTTCGGATGATCAACCCTAAACACGTAACTCACCAGGTGTTTAGGGTTGATCCGTTCCCAAACCGCATCCGATTCCGATTGGGTTTTAGTTTTTTTACAAGTTAGCAGATTGGTTGGGCGCGAGCGGGAATTTTGTTGAGTTTCAAGTTTTTTTGGCGGGAGTTACATGTGTGACCATTCGCGTGATTTTTTGCACCTGTTATTAGTGACTGAATCCGTGACCCCGCTTACCAAACCCGTCAGAAAACCCGATACAGTGACCGTACCGTACGCGTTTTTTTTTTACCATTCACGTTATCGAGTTCCAAGTTGGTTACTTGTGGCATATTTTCCCTGTCTTGAATGTAGTAAGAACGAGGAAATCCCAACCTCTACTATGAAAAGGTACCATAGTACCGTACATCAACTCTAGCTGCCCTACGAGCCAGTATTGAAACTCAACATATACAGAAAAATCCTGCCAAAGCATATGTAGTTAAGTGTGGAGGTAACTACCCGGTGAAAATAAACATTGGTTTTCCTTATTCACCGAGGCAAGTGTCTGCAACAAAGCTCCATTTCAGTGTTTGGTTGTGGGGGTATTCGGGACAGGGTGCATATGTTTTGTTTCCCTAGTTCACACCTCGAAGTCAGTTCAACAGAACAGAGTGGGATGCAGTGCTGCGGTGCTCCCAATGGTCGGTGTTATGAGTTGTAAAAGAGAGTGCGCAGTTTAACGAATAACGAGACGAGAAGGTGATTGAACAGACTGATTGTACAATGAAGGCACACGCTAATATAGTGAGTAGGCTAGCTAGGAGGGAACTTCGGGTGAGTGAGGTCGGGTGCAGGTTTGGCGAAGAGGAAAGCCGAAGGCGACGCGAGGAGGCTCGGCATCGTTGATGTCGGCCAAACGTGCAGAGTCCGAAAATCGGGGCTGTACGCGAAGCAGTGAACCCCGATAAGGAATTCGGGAAAATTCTTTACACTACCCCCCCCCCCCCCCCTTAAGCAAGGTGGTCGATATCCGCGGTGCGCTTGCGTGCGAGATAATCAACAACAAGTGGGGAGTCTGCAAGCGAAGCGGATGACACCCACGTGTCGTCTTCACTTGTGCGGTCAGTCCAACGGATTTAAAAATCAACGTGGCAACCAGCGGCATCCAGGCGAACACGATGCGCCAAGATCTTGGACGGGTCAAGTGTCGGTTCGGGTACCGGGCGTGCCGTTGGTGCAGCCTGTTGCCGGGCGATGTCGGTCGTGGCTGGCACGAACTTGCGAAGTAAGCTGACATGGAAGGCATCGTGGATGCGCCAGTCGTCGGGGAGCAGCAGCTTCGCGGTGACAAGTGTCACCATCTTGATAATTTTGAAAGGCCCGCAGAATCGTGGCCGCAATTTCGATGGTCGGGCAGTCGCAGGTTCTTCGTGTCGAGGAGGACTAATTGCCCAGCTGTCAAGACGAGTTCTTGTCGTAAAAGGTCGGTGTATTTTCGGGAAGTGGTATTCGCCTTGCGAATAGCGCCTGCAACTTTTTCTCGAACTGCCTGGAGTTCCGTCACGAATGTTACCGCGGGACTGGATTGTCGAGTGTAGTCGTTGTAGGCACCATCGGGTCCATCCCGTAATTTAAAAAGAACGGGGAGTGATTAGTCGTACTGGACGGGGCATTGTTGAAGGCAAACTCCAATATGGCGAGCGAGTCTTCCCAGCGAGCAGGGTCGGAGCAGTTTGTCCGTATCAGCTGCTCCATTGTCTGATTGGTCCGCTCGGTCTGGCCATCCGTTTGCGGGTGGTATGCGGAGGAGAACTGTAGTTTCATGCCGTATTGTGCCCACGTCTCCTTCCAAAACTTCGACGTGAACTTCGGATCTCGGTCACTGATGATCGCCGAGGGAATTCCGTGCAGTCGCACGACCGTTGAGATGAATAGGCGTGCAGTCTCCTCGGCTGTGATGGTTGTACGACACAGTGCGAAGTGCGTCATTTTCGTGAGACGATCGACGACGACGAGAACCGCGTCGTTGCCGGACGGTCCAGCTGGCATCCCCGTGACAAAATCCATTGTCACTTGTTGCCACGGTCGTTCAGGTGGCTCGAGGGGTTGCAGTAGCCCGGCTGGCCGTTGACGTGTCGATTTCATGGCCTGGCACACCCTGCATGAGGACACATATCGCTGCACGTCGTTAGAGGAATCAGGCCAATAATCGTGACGGTGCAATAATTTATGGGTTTTATCGACCCCGAAATGTCCGGAGAAGTTTGAATCGTGGACCTCTTGGATAAGGAGTTTACGCAGCAGCCGGTCAGTTCCGACCTTTAGGTAATAATCCTCTTTCTGCGTCGTGGCTTGCTGGTGGTTCCCAGTCGTGAAGAATGGGTCCGTAGTGTAGCCGTGGGTGAAAAGTCCTGTAGGTAATGGGTTCGAGTGGTGAATGAGTACTGCAGCAGATTGTACTGTCGGTCGGGTCAGGGCGTCAGCAATGTTATTTGCCCCCTTCTTGTACGTGATGCGGTAGGTGAAGTGGCTCTCCATGTAATCCAACCACCGAATTTTTCGCGGGTTGAGGTTGGGCTGAGCTCGCAGATATTGGAGGGACTTGTGGTCCGTGCGAACAGTGACATCGGCGCCCACCAGGTAGCATCGCCACAGTTTGAATGCGTGGATAATGGCGAGCATCTCCTTGTCGTGAATCGGGTAGTTGCGCTCGGCTGCCTGCAGCTTGCGTGACTCGTAAGCTATCGGCTGCAGTCCGTTCCCAAAATCCTGGAGTAGTACAGCTCCGATCGCGAAATCAGAGGCGTCGGTGACGACTTCAAACGGCTTCGATGGGTCGGTGATGCGCAGCACAGGAGGGGAAACCAGGAAAATTTTCAACTCCTGGAAAGCCGCTTCTGCCTCCTCCCCCCACACAAAATTCCTGTCTTTGTGCAGCAGGTCGGTTAGCGGGCCGGTTATCCCCACCATATTCGGGATAAACCGCCGGACGTAATTCACGAACCCCAGAAAACTCTGCAGCTCCGTGATATTCGTCGGGGACTTCCACTCCTGTATGGTCTTGATTTTCGCCGGGTCGATTTTAATGCCGTCGCGTGAGACAACGTGTCCCAAAAACTCCAACTCTTGCTTAAAAAACTCGCATTTAGAGCCCTTGGTGATGAGTCGATTCTCCTGCAACCGTTTAAACACTGCGTCAAGGTCGCGGAGGTGGTGCTCCTGTTAGAATGTAGAACTGAATGAGAATGTGTGAAACTAGGCAGCAGGGTGATACAAGTAGGAAA